GAAAAAAATTCATTTCTAACGAAACTGATTGAACTATAGTTTACTTTCTAAGAAAACAAATGGTAAATCATCCTACAATGCAAATGATATATTAATAAAAGAATTATATGTTAAAACAGAATTTTCAAGTTGACATTCATTAAATCGTTTACGTGCCGTGACGCTAATACATCAATTTAACGCGCAAATATTTCATTTTTTTTAATAAAAATTTATTATTTTCTTGCTAAAAATGATACTGTAGAATAAAATTTTTGATAGGACCGCTAATATCCTAGTATTAAACTGATTACACACCGTGACGTTATAAGATAGGAGATAATAAATGGACGTCTCGCGATTTTTCTATTCTTGTTTGTTTATGTAATTTTTTTTATATAAATGCATATTAATATTCTAAATTTTAACGTTTCTAACAAGTAGAATATTTAAATTTTAAAAAATAGAAATAAAAAGTACAGTAAAGATAATAAGCTAAGAAGTCGTTAAAAATGGCGCATTAGTTATTCAAGAATCGAAAGTTTTGGTTATAAAAAATAAATTTTTATTTAATTTTATTATTTTATTTTTAAAGATAAACTTTGGTTTTTGACGATAAACACGAAAAATAACGATAATAATTTTTAGTTGTTATGATTAAAAATATTTGAACTTTGTTTTCTGTGTAAGCAAAACGAGAGAATATATATTTAAATTTTAACGATTTTCTCCGAATTTATTTTTAGTATTTATTATTAATAGTAAACTTTGTACTTTTAAATTATTGGAAATTAATAATAACTTAAGTAAATTGATAATTTTATTTTTACTTTAATTTTCAAATGAAATTAATTTTAAACTTATCGAATGTGAGACGAAGGACGAAATTTTGTTTTTATAAATATAACTCGTTTGAGTTACTTAATTGGTCGAACTATCCCGTGATTGGTGGCCAAATTTTTTACTTTCCAAAATCCCACAATCCATTGCCGACGATATATTGCGCATTGCATATTGGGAAATTGACACACTAATAAAAGCGAATCGACAATCAATGAAGTCAGTGACGTAGTTAGAGTGATAGATTAGGGAAAATATTCGAGTAACGAGGTAACTATCAACAAAATTCTTTCGAAATTCCGAAAGAGGAAGCTAGACTGATTTTAATTAACGAATTTTCCGAGAGTAGATATTAAAAAATGAGCAGCATTTTTTCCTCTCTCCTTTCGCTTTCATCCTTCTTATTTCTACTTTATCTCTCGTCTTTCTCCTATCGAAACACGATCTCGGTTTACAGTAGGACAAAAAAAAGCCTCGTAATAAAGTTGTTTCTTATCAATGAAGGTGTCTCAGAAACATGAGATGAAATTTGAAAACGCTCGTGAGAAAAGCTCTCTCAGAGAATGACAACAATTATAATTTTTCTGTGGGGTATAATTTATTTTATTGTTGATGAAAATTTTGCATAAAATAAAATCTTATAGACGTAGAAAACTTTTTACCATTATTATTCATGTTTTGGTGCATTTATTTTACAAAAATTGAAGAACGCATCATGTACTTGGATAATCGTCACGCATATACTGTATCACTCATTAATGTCTTTACAGCGTAACAATTTATGCGCAAGCATAAGTGCACGAAAGAAAATATTATACAGAAACGAAAGTACTTTTAAACGCGAGAAAATTTAATAAATACTTTTCACAATTTGCATGCGTGTTCTCGATGTGTTAATTGTCTGGAGTGTTTGTGCTCCGTTTCCTAGTGTACACAAGAGAAAAACTATAATACCCAATTGTGTTAGCTTATTCCCGATAATGCAAGAAGATCTCCAGTGAATTTACTTCAAAGTTTCGAGTTTCTTTGCTGGAATAAAATTTATGCCGGTAAAAGAAAAATATTATTCTCTATATTATATTCCTTTTTTCCTCCAACCGCTGGAAGATATTAACAGACCATTCGTCGCCCTCGACTGGTTTATTTTTTTTTTAAAGAACTCGCTTAGTATAAAATATGTCTGCATTAATAGAGTCGTAACGTTTATTCTCAAAAGTCATTGATTTTTCACAAATTCCTTTTATCGCTTTTAGTATCTCGCCATTTGTTGTATGTTGGTAATGTTCTTCTCCTTTCTAATGTTCAACCAGATAACGCTTTCTCTTCGTCCATATTCTTCCACCCTGCCAGAAAATAATTCCTGCAAACTAATTAAGCTTCAACTGAACAATTCGAAATGTTGCTGACGTGTTTCCGTTAGTGAAACACATCAGCGAGTCGAATCCTTTACAATAACGATGTATCGTGTTGTTTTGCGATGTACACACTCTTCTAAAATCGTGTTTCGTTCGTTATTGAAGCGTAAAGAGACTTTAAAATAAAGGATTCGTGAAAGTATCGCGCGATAAATCGCTTATTGCTAGCGATTTATCGCGCGAATTTCATTGTAAATAACATTTTTCGAATATATTAAACGTGATACATCAAAATATGTATTTTATTCGCAAAAAATATTTGCATTTTTAGCATTTTTGGTGTTTGAAAACACGGTTTAGTCTTTTATTTAGTCAACATTTTAATGTTTATGTAGTAATTTATAGGTATCAAATTATCGAAATTTTGCTACATTTTAAAACAGAATTTTAAATCGAAGTTGGCAGAAGTTCTAAGTAAACATTCTGCCAACATATTTTAATATTTTCTAAACATTTTGGCTACTAATAGCTGCAACGTTAAAGCATTACAATGAGTGTGAACCGCGTTATAATGATGATTTATGCAAAAAAAACGTATGTATGAGTATGCATGTACGCTATTCACCCAATTTTTATGATCTGAATATTTATTTTAAATTACTGTTGACACCGCATTGTTTTAATTGTTTTCAAGGGTAATTTTATACTTTTCATTCGCGTACTGTTTAGAAATCGAACTAGAATTAGGCTAGATGCTCTCGAGCTAGAAACTTCCTCAGTTTTGCAACATGCAGACACTTCGTAGTGTTGTTCTATGTTTAAATGAAAGTTATCTAGAGTCGTTAAACCGATTGTAACGCGAGATTACGAGAGTACAAATTCCTATCGACATACAAATAATATATTCAGCGTAATAGTAAACCAGAATGATTTTTGCCAATTTAATAATAAAGTAGAAATAATTTAATGATTTACAATTGTTTTTTTTAATATCTAGCATGAATGTTTAAAATGAAATTTATTAGCTTGGCTTTTTACTAAAAATTCAAAAATTAACAGTCAAATTTTCTATCATTTACATTAATTAAATATCCTTTTTTATGTGTAATAATTAATACAATAATGATTTATTAAAATGATTTTTAATTAAATTTTTTTAATGGAAGTAAGCGTAAGATTTCTCTTCTACAATCAAAAATAAACAAGATAATAGTTTTATATATATACAGTGTATAAAAAGAGGAGAAGGGGGAAGACGAAATTAATTATTGTTCTCTTCTTTCAAAGTGTAAAGGCAATATGTTGCGTTTTGTAATTAATGTCGCAGCGCGAAAATCCTATCGAAGAACGACATCACTTGACACATTTTTCACCAATTAAATCATTCAATAATATCAAATTTCTGATTTACTACTATTGATGCTCCCCGGGGGAGAGAGGGAGCGCCATAGAAATTTGGCTCCAAGGTAGACGATATCCCCCGTGTTCTTGTTTCTGTTAAAATGACGCTTTCGGCTGCGAGAGGGAAAAACAGAAAAAGAAAAAAAGGAAAAAAATGATTTCGGTTTCCGGAAAAGAAGAATAGCTGCAGGCAGACATTTTCTGTCAAAGAAAGCAAGTCGCTCTTTTCTGTTGTTCTCATACTCGTTTGTTCGTGTCTCCTCCTTTTGTTCTCTTTTATCCATTGCCAAAAATCCCTTCCTTCGAAAACAATGATATATCAAGTAAAGCTGTATTATTATATGAGATTCTGTAATCATCTTCCTCTTCTGTTCGAACATAATAACTTTCCTGATACAGGACTCTACTACATTTTGATCCTTGACAATGTTCTAGTTATATCCAAAAATCTATCTTACCACCTTTTTTCCTGAGAGATATCGGGGATGAATATGTATTAACTGCATAAAAGAGCTTAAAAAATTTCAAAAAAAAATACATCTTTTCATTGCAAACAATGATATCTATTCTGGATTTTATTATTAATTTTTCATATTGAATGCCATATTTTTCCCTAGTGTGTCACCTCGATTTTATCGCATCGCTGAATAATAATAAAAATATATATCCAACTGAGGGCTTTGTGACTTGGCTGGAAGCAGGAAATATATATACACAATATAATAATTATAATAGCCTAATAAAATAACTCCTTTATCCTCCAAATCTATAAAAAAATAAATAAATAAGTAATATAAAAAAGTTTTTGAATTCAAATAAATAACGTGACCCGATTGGATTATTTCGGCACGTGCTCTATTCAAATTTAAAATTTTTTAAATTCTTTCCCGCGATTGGTCGATGCGGTCACATGATCGGTTTGAAATTTTAAATTCTAATAAATTGATGATGTCTATGGCCTCTTTAATATTTTAAATTAATTATTTTATTTTACGTACACGAAAATGCGGATTTATATTATAAAAATATACTTTCATAAAATTCTACAAAATCTACGTTTATGTGCTAGATATTTTTAAAAAATTTCAAATTAAAATGGATCTGATCGGAAGAGTTATGACGTAATTATAATAAACTTTCCGTTCCTTATCCGTTATCAATATTTATTATTAATCTCATTAATATTATTCGATAAGATAATAAATTTATCGGATGTTTTTTACGATCGTTAAAAATGTAAAAATTCAAATATCGTAATATTTTTTTTTTCTTTAAATGACACGGCGGAATCAATTCGTGCGGGATTGGTAGCGTGACGTGTCACGTGACTGGATGAGTAAAAGCAGACTTACAGTACATTTTAAAATATTTTTTTAACCATTATTATTATTATTATTAACCATTTTTTAAATATTAATCTTGCAGGAAGTTCTGTTTCCTTGAGATCATGTCGGATTTGTTTTATGAAGATAGCCTAATAGTTGATTTCTTGCAAAACAGAACGAAAGATTGAGTAAGTATTTAAATTTTTCCAATTTAACTTTAATTAACTTCACTTAAAGGCATAAATGCATAAAAATTGACCAACAAATCGATAAACGAAACGTAAGAGAGCTTATATTTTTAAAGTCTGACGTCGTCCAATTAAATTGCAGATTAAAATAATTTCTCGACCGGATAGGTTTATTCGATTCTTCGTTGTATCACGTGATTTATTCGACCTATAAGCGTTTCTAAGAACTTTTTTTGAATTTGTGAATTATACTTTAAGACGTGGAATAAATCATGTGTCCATATAAGTTTAAAATTATAAAGTTGGAGTAATAGGAAACTACTTTGAAAAGTCTGATGGCTTAAAGAATGTGTATAATTTGACGGGGTGGAGTGGTTGAAGGTATTGCGTTTATTAGCAAAGAAACGGGTAGAAAATTGCTTTTAAGAAATACCAGTCATAAAAATAAGAGGAAAAAAGGAAAAGTTTTCTTGCTCATAATGTATTAAACTTCAAAAGTACAGAGGTTGCGATGGAAGTAAATGACTGTTTATTAGATGTCTGAACTAAAGCACTTTCTTACTGTAAATTGGGGGAGTTAGACAGTGAAGTATCCTGTTCTTTAATTTTATTACTCCAAGTTAAGCCATCTGGAAATAAATAAAACAAGTTTTCTTCATGATTTATACAAGGCGCAAACGTTCGATTTAAGTGTACAGTTTTTAAGATATTGAACTATTTTATACTTTGTATCTTACTCCACTTTAACTGGGTCGTTAATAGTTTTCGCTTGGTAGTATTAGAGAAAGAATCGTATGACAGTTTCGTTCACATCTGTCTCATTTCCGCTCTTGCACTCTCCAGATGGAAGACTTTGAATACATCCCTGTCAATAGGACCTATATCGATCCATGTTGAAAGTGAAAAAGTTGACAGGCTTCCAGAAAGAGATTCCTTTAAATTTGTTGACTAATTGCAGGGTTTTGTTATATTCGTTTATAGTTTTTGCGTCTACACATGTAATGTTTCTGTTTTGAAATCTTCATTATAGGTTTTAAAGCTTGCTTATTATATATCACTTTTTGCTAAACTCTGACATTGATTTATCATACTGCGGTGCCTTTGAAAGTAGAATTTGTTAAATTTAAACACTTACCCTTGAGAATTGACTCCTCTTTTTTAAAAATCATCTATCTGCTCCGTTATTAGCTTGATAAATTTACGACCAGCTGGTAATAATGTTGCTGGTTCTGGTTAATAAATTTTGATTTAATACATTCAAAAATTAACGTTCAAATTGTTTATATCATTCGCAGATAGTCATTAATAGCCTACAGACGTTAAATTACTTATAGCTCATAAAAGTTTAAATTTAAGTTTATATATAGATTGTCCTATATAAGTTATACGAACATTATTCATTTCATTTTTTGAAAAAAAAATAAAATAAAACACTATCATAAATCAATACATAAATGCCTGCAATGATTGAACATAGCACTCCGCTGTACTCATAAATTTATATCAATTTTTGAATATTTTCTTTAAATTTTTCTCACCCAGGTGAGACTGAATCTTGTTATACTTGCTTCTAGTGGTAATAAATGACTGGACCTGACGTTTAAGCCCCTTTACTTGACTCTAGACCATCTTCTTGGATTTATGATACTGCTTACTGGCTATCTAGTAATGTATAGCTAGTGACTTTTTAGTCTGGAGTTTTCAGTGCGGCTTTTCTGAAAGAAAAAAAAAACTGTTTTTTTTTTTTTGTTTCCTTTCTTTCTTTCTAGTCGATGTTGCAAACCTAATTTGTGACCTTTTTCTCTTAAAAGTGTTGTCTTTTCATCTTTGAAAGAAGCGGGGGAAAGGCAATTGAGAAATATCTGAAGAGTTTTACTACCGACTTTTTAGATTAAATTTGTTTCATTGAAGTTTATTTCGATCTATATGGAAATTTAAATATTGCTTCTATAGAAATATTCTATATTTTACTTTCCTGACTGTTATACAGTATATAACAGAGGGAAGGTATGGCAATCAGTTGAAAAACACAAAATAATTTGGGTTTTTTTTTTCTGTATGTATGGGTGGATGTTGTGTTTGTGGGGACACGATTTTGTTCACCCACTTTGAAGCTTAATAACTTGTGATTTTTTTCGAAAATTTCTAAAATTTTACAGGGAAGTTTGGATATTAGAGAATTGATGCTTTTAAATTTTGGTGGTTAAAAGTAGACGGGGTGGGGAGATAGAGGGAGGTTGTGTGTCGTATCTCCAATAGGATCGGAGTTAATGAAGATTTTACTCGTTATTATTTACAATTTTTTTATAAATCAAAATTTCAAAATTAAGCTTTTTGCCATTTTTTTAGTAATTAATAATATAAAAAGTTTTTTAATAAAACATAACAGATGGCGCCATAAGCAATTTTAAATGTTTTTGCCGGAAAGTTACGCAACACACTGCTGGATTTTTATACATTTAATATCTCATATTTTAGGTTATATTTCTATTAAATTTATGGAAAGACAATTAAATATTCATCGACTATCCTAAAATAAATTTAAAAAGTGATAAAAGCTTAATAATGTCACCAGTTGGGAATTACACTTATCAGATTACAATTACAATAAGTAATCTTTTACATTAATAAATCAACACGTGTCTTACAGTTTCATTTATTTAGTAAGAGTTCCATGCGTTCTGATGATTGTATTCATGCATGCATTTACATACAGTAAAGTTGGTATAACTTATATCATAAAAGCTTAATAATGTTAACGTATAAAATCAATCAGATAAGTTATGATTGATCATGTATGAAGAATTAATACTTTGAAATCCATATAAATGTGATTTTATTTATAATTAAAGGCCCCGAAGTAGATCCCAATTTAATTAATTTTGCGAAAATTTCCGACCTGACTAATATAATTTCGAATCAATTTTTTTTTTATTTAATGCATTTATCTTTTCAAGGCAAAACAATTTAGCCAAACCATTTAAATATAGCTGTGTCACAGGCGTAAATAATTAGGTTTAGTTTAAACTGTTTCAGTCATTACTATTACTCATTACTTCTACAGATATACATCCCACTCAGTTAACTAGGTAATGAAACATTGCATATAGTTTTTGTTATTTTCTATCAGTCTATTGTATTTAAACTATACGAGCATCAGAACTTCTCGTTTAACTCTGCTGTTTATATACTAAATTTGCCCCTTTTTTTGCTGCTGTTTTTGTTCCTTTTTTTTCTCCTCCTGTAGCTGATTAGCAACATTTCCTAATCAATTAATGATCCTTGCCGCAGTCAGGTGGTTAGCCTTAATGAGCCCACCACTATAATTAACAACCTTTCCGGTTACTGATCGGTATTCCAGTTACTGAAGTATAGTAATTCAGCCGATAATGTACTGTACATCGTATTATAGATTGTCTGCCCCGTCTTATTAGTATTAAATCGAATTTCTTAGAATAGAAACACACGCACTTTATCTGCCGTCGGTTTTCCATATTTCATTTCTTCTAAGATTTATTTATAAGCGAGATTTATTTTAATTAGAAAAATATTTTTTGGAAGAAGAAAAAGATATTGTGAAATTATTAATTATCCTCCTGCCGAATGTCATCTATCATCTCATGGATTATTTTCTGTGAAAATTGCACAATCTGTTTCCTTCTTGTTTCTTTTCTGAACTTTATTAAAATGTTCTTCAGCTATGTAATTAGATTGGCACTTATAAACACTTTCACTGCTTATTGCTTGTGTGTGTGTGTGTGTGTGTGTGTGTAGAGCTTCTTAAACATAATTTCGAGTGAAAAAAAAATTTTTTTTTAAGTGGTGCAATTAAAGTAACTCTTCGTAGTTCATTATAATCTACTTTTGATCATGCCAAATAAATTACCTCATTATCATTTATTTTAACTACGCTATACGCAAAAATTGTTCACAGACACTAACAATTTATGTTTTTTCCCTCAGGTTTGGCCGTACCTATGTTAGAATCGGACTTTCGATCCTTTCGACCTTTGACCTCCCGAAATCACCATGCTGCTACCAAGGAGACGAAGTCTCATCCTCAAACTTATCCTGTTAGTTCCCATCACGTGGTTCGTTGTGACCCTGCTATTGACCCACGGCGACAAACTACATCCAGACACCAAAGATGACCTAGATGGCAGGGCGGCCAAAGTGGTGCTTCCAAATTCCGTATACATAGGAAAAGGTGAAAACGATGGGGTCAGAGGTCATCAGAAGCGAGATAGCGTAGAGCAGAAGGGTGTCCTACCTATTCCGCACGAACCAAATGGTCCTGGTGAATTGGGTAAGCCCGTAAAATTATCCAATCTCACGGACGAGCAGCAACGCATAGTCAAAGAAGGATGGCAGAAGAATGCATTTAATCAGTACGTCAGCGATATGATTTCACTTCACAGGAGCTTACCGGATGTTCGGGATAAAGAGTAGGTTTAAAATTTAATATATTATTTTCAAATTCATCTCGTATACATTAATAAAAACGGAGGAAAACGCTTCGGAATCCAGCACTCTAGATACGAATCGAAGTACGATGTAGCAATTATCGAATTTATCATAAAATTCTAAATTTATCCTTCAGACAATCGTGAACAAAACACTCCATGATTAATGGTTTAGATTGCAGAATAGCTTGCCTTTCATTCAGTTATCAAGAGTTTGTTAATTGCACTCTATATCATTCCCAACTAACCAATTTTATGTCATGTATAACATTCTGCTAACGTTACAATCTAATTTATAACCCCGCTACACAAACCAGAAAGATATCAGATTAAATAATTTCCAAAAGAAAAGGAAAATTTCTGCAGGGGATGCATCCAAAAATGCACTTTTATTTTGTAGCTTTGGCAGTGTCCCTTCTTGACTTACAACAGTGTTGCTAGTGACTTCTATTTCTTGGAGTGCCTGGATTACAGCATGACTGTTCAGAGCACATCTCTCTCTCCTTGGCTTTTATTACCGACCCCATGAAGTAAGACAAAGCAATGGAATCACGGATTTTACTGCAACTTCGGATTTTCGTTTAATCTATCTTTGTTTCCTCGACTTTGTTTCTATCTAATTGCTCTTAATGCGGTCTAGTTGTATGCAATAAAATAGACCTCAATGTCTTCCCTTAAGATAATGATCGAGATTATGTTTATCAGCATTTTTCCCTTTAATTCTAAGGGTCTAAGTCAGAGCTTCTTCAATTTAAAACTTAAATATAGACTTTTATGTATGATTCGCTACGTAGAATCATCTACGGGGCGACACTTACCCTTTAGAATGATTTTTAAAAATTTAATGCGTGTCTGGTTAAAATATATATATAAATTTTCCTCTCGTTCTTCACCATAACGCCGTCTAAATAATAGAATAAAACGTTTCTGCCGGAAAATAACCTTGATTAAATTTTGCACGATGCTCGTCTACATACAGGATGCGTTAAAATGGTTTCAGGTAACTGCTACTAGATTGCTGGAAGGATCATTTATTTTCTAAGCATTCTTAATGTGGACCAAAGTAATTTTATGAAATCTTATCCAAACTATTAACTGTTTTTGGCGCCAAAAACCTTTCAAAGACATGAAACGTTTTAAAATATTGGAAAACCATTAGGCTGAAAACATCGCCGTGATAACAGCTTCAACTTTTTTTTCCTTTCTTTCTCCTCTTCTCTCTTCCTCCTCCCTCTATTCACTCCAGCAAAAGTTTATCGCATTCTGGGTCAATTCAACTTTGAACCAGGCGGTTAACTCGCATCTAGGGGTTAGCCAGATGAGGTCATTCTGTCCGGCACACGTCACTCGCATTAATCAAAATTGCTTGCCACTCCCGTGCAAAATAGTATAAAAGCTATCGTTGCCGGAGCCTCGAAGTAACCGGAAATATGTATAACACATTAATTCTTTCGATAGGAAGTTGTAATAAACGTGGATATATTATTTTTTGGTACCTTCTTCCCCCTGTTTTCGTAAAGTTAGAGGTGGAACTAATGGCTGCAATCTCTCTCCCTCCACTGAAGCTTTTTTACTAGACGCTTCATTTAAGTTAACAATGCGAAAATTATAAATTGGTTTTCTTCCACTGTATGTTTTCAATGGGTTATTCAACTTGGGATATACATTTTTGAACGTGTAGAATATTTTTCCGGTTCGGTTCCTTCGCACCTAATTTAGTTCCAGATCCCCACTGCGTTTTCGCTTCCTACATTTTTCAAAGTAAGCAGTTTTTCGAGACGTTTCTGAAGCGTTAAACATTAAAAAAAAAGTGCCTCCGTACTTCCAAAAAATCTAATCTGTGAATTCAAATAAACCGTATTTCTATCATTTTTTCGAGTTTAAATGACTGTTATGATATTAGAAAGGGAAGAACAGATGTTTAATCTAGATCCAATCGTTGGCCATTTCTAAAGGGAATTGCAGGGGGGTGTATAATATGACTCATGCTATTGTTTTACTCGGCATTGGTTTGACAATCCGCAGTTTCCCATTGAACTGTTAGGCTTATACCCCAATGCTAAATCAATAACGAGATGGAAATGTTTTCAGGAAGGAATTGATAATGTTCCCTTCTTGTATGCAATTTTCTCTCGTACACGTGTTAGTTGAGGGTGTGCACAACAGATGGCAGCACTATTTAGGGGTTGTCTCTCGGCGGTAATGAGTTTTCGTCCTTTGTTTTACAGGTGCAGGAACGAGAAATATCAAAAAAAACTTCCAGCCACGAGTGTTATAATATGCTTCCATAATGAAGCGTGGAGTGTACTCCTGCGTACTGTATACAGCGTTCTGGACAGATCTCCCGACGATTATGTGAAAGAAGTGATACTCGTGGACGACTTCTCCGATCTTCGTAAGTATTTTCTAGCCGGAAAAAAAAACGGTTAAAAACTCGCGCATGATTAACAAATTAATATATTTTTGTTGCCCTGAGCTAATTAAATGATACTAAAATTGCTAATTAGTAGTGTCACCAAGGATTTGGGGAGGAAAAAAACAAAGTTGTGAAACAACAAACAACCGGATGTAACACAGACTGTTTTATTTAGCGAATTAATTAGTCCTTGGTTGCGTAAAAAGATTACAATGATAACCAAAAAAAAGGATAGCAAAATGTATTACAGAAAATATCCTGAAAATAGTAAAAAATTCGAAGAAAAAGGACCCGTTTTTGCACTTTTTTCGAAGAAGAATCAATAGCAGAAAAGAGGATTTTCACTATGGCTCATTACCTTAAGTGATCCACTGATGCATTTGACTCAATGAAATATAGCGGGCCGCGTCGACAGCCAATCAATGAAGTGGAATGGGTATAGGAAGCGTGACGTCACGGCCTCGTATTAATTAAACCGATTGTTGCTTCGGATGCGATGATGAATGACCTGTCTCCATTTTATTCTCCTGCCCTCCCTCTCCTGATATATTCTTAGAAATAACGATAATGAGACAAAATGGTGGCTTACAGAATGTGTGTATATATATATATATGTATTTTTTTTACTGGATCTTATCTTTTGGGTATTTTCATCGTACTCTAGCTTAATTATCGGTTGGTTTTCTTCACAACTTTATTAAACTGGAAAGTTTTGCCTTCGAAATTTTAGCCTGGGGTCTTTGGAATTCCTTTTTTTTTTTTTCTTTCTCTTCTTTTCCCCCCTCTTCATCCTCCTCTCCCTTTAATTATTATCCCTGAGCTGGTTTAATGCAGAAATCTCCAGTATTGATCTTGAAGTTCTTGAACATAAAAATAGAAGTGGATAGAAAGAAATGCTTGAAAAGTTTTCATCTCGGTGGCCTCTGCTGAGTTTTTTAACCACTGTAAATAACAAGATACTCCTAGTTGTTTTTTTTTTCTTCTAGTGCTTTCATATCTCTAATCCCATACTGGAAAAGTTGATGGCTTGTCAAGTTCATCGATTTCTCACCAATTTTTTTTTTCTGTTCCTCCTGTTCCTTCTCTTCGCTAAATTATTATGTCCCGCATCAATTTTAAACTTCTTAAAACTGATAAGTTCATACATCTTTATGCAAAGTTTTTCATACCAAAATATCATTTTCCAGCTCATTTAGGTAAGCAACTGGAAGAATTCGTCAATCAGACCAAAAAGGTTCGGCTGGTCCGCGCCAAACGCAGGGAAGGTCTCATCCGCGCTCGTCTGTTGGGTGCATCCGCTGCCACTGCACCTATCCTCACTTATCTAGACTCACATTGTGAATGTACAGAAGGTAAGTATTTCTGTGCCTTCTTTAAAAGATTTAAGTAAATTCCAGTTCTCTCAATGCTCCGTCTTTGTTAGTTTTTAAGTTATCATTCGTTTGATAGTAACGTTCTTCGAACTTTCTGAATGCCTAGTTATGTAAGCTAATGATCGTTGCATCGGCTATTCATTCTCGTTGCTCGAAAGGAGAACCCGTTGAAGCTCGTATCTATCTCTGTACGCATTTGTATGAGAGATCTGGGAAATGATTGATGTTGAAAGAATGCAACTCTAATAACTATTTGCCTCAATCAGATGTTTCCCCGAGGCTATCTGTAGTAAATAGATTAGAGCAGACTTGAAAGAGAGTTGTTGGTAGTGAATTGGCATTTCTTTATTTTTATCATTATCTGGCCTTCTCTACTTTAATTACATACAACTTTTATTGATTTTCTTTCTCTTTTAAAATCAAGTTATAGCTGCAATGTCTGAAGTAGTATGTGTAGTTGAACTAAATATGCATCAGTTGGTAGTAACTGTACATGTTATAAATCATATGCTATTAAATATAGAATATTTTTAATATATATTTTAAAAAATGTGATTAGAAAACAATTAATATATGATAAAGAAAGGCATTAACTAATAAAAATGATATTTTTTTGTAAAACAGGATGGTTAGAACCGCTCTTAGATCGTATTGCACGAAACTCCTCGACTGTGGTGTGCCCAGTTATTGATGTAATTAATGACGACACGTTCGAGTACCATTTTAGAGATTCCTCGGGGTTGAATGTCGGAGGATTTGATTGGAATCTTCAGTTTAACTGGCATGCTGTACCAGATAGGGAGAAGAGGAGGAGAAAACACATGTGGGACCCTGTCTGGTGAGGATCTTCTTAATAGTAATTGCTAATCAGTTTAACTGAAATTAAGATTACTTATAAAATTATTAATTAAATTCTAAATATACAGGTCTCCCACGATGGCCGGTGGCTTATTTGCAATAGACAAACAATTTTTTGAGAAATTAGGTACTTACGACAGCGGGTTTGACATTTGGGGAGGGGAAAACTTAGAATTATCCTTTAAGGTACAAATAATTCCTCCCAGTTTTATACAATTAACTAATAAAATATGTATGTAAATTGCCTGATTCGTTTCAGACTTGGATGTGTGGAGGGACTTTAGAAATTGTTCCCTGCTCTCATGTGGGGCACATCTTCCGTAAACGTAGTCCTTATAAATGGAGGTCTGGAGTCAATGTGCTTAAAAGAAATTCTGTACGACTAGCAGCTGTATGGTTAGACGATTACTCTAAATATTATTATCAGCGCATTGGCTACGACTTGGTAAAAAGTTATTTCTGATCAATTTTATATTTAAGATAAACAAAATAGTTTGATTTAATATACATAAGTGACTTTACAGGGTGACTATGGTGATATTAGCAAGCGGTCGGAGTTACGTAAAAAGCTGAAATGCAAAACTTTTGACTGGTATTTAAAAAATGTGTATCCTGAATTATTTATCCCAGGAGAAGCAGTTGCTTCAGGAGAGGTATGAATGATTAATAATTGATAAATTTAAATACAAAAATTTTAAAGACAATATTTACTTTATCTTACAAGCCATGCTGTTAAATTAATCAACCTCAGAAATCTGCTACAGAATTGTTCAAAATATTACATAATTAATTTCATCTGTAGCCAATTTTTTTACAAAATTAAATGTCATCATTGTTCATATTCATAACCAAGGTTCAAGAATTAGAAGTTAGCCAATTACAATTCACTTTATTTTTACTGTAGTACTTGAACATATGTCATGCCTTTTAATAAATGTGAAGAATGTCAATATCTGGATTTATCTGCCAAGGATGATGCCTCCTAGGTGGAGTTTATATGAAAAATTGGCCCCTACTTAGGTGTTAGATAGGTGTAAAAATGCCACATGGCCAGCCCTTTAGGGGGAGACAGACCCAAAACTAACTACTAGTAGTAACACTAGTAGTTTGCATCCACTAGGCACTGGTGGACTTGGCCAATTAAAAAACTTCTTGAGAATTGATAAGGTTTGGAATATAGTTATAAAAGACTGTAAAATCAGAATAAAATTATGTAAAGTTTGTTTTAAAATTTTAAATTGAAATAAGAATAACTTTATAAAAAGGGATTTTAAATGTCATTCTTATGACATACCATTTTCATGACTGACAATATTGTGTAATAATTTAAAAAATTCAAAGAATTGATAGTGTATCTCAAATAATTATCAACATATGTTGTTTTAAAATTAAAATATTGGTTATATTATATTAACTAGATAAAAAAACCAATGTTGTTCTTAATTGTGTTTATTACATAAATTAAATGCTACAAAGTTCTAACTTCCATAGCATTTTTAAATTGGCAGAAAAAAATTTTACCATCCCAAAAAATTATCAACTGTTTGTTAAAAATACCAAGAAAATATGTGCAAATCAGTTTGCATTTTCATATTTATATCACTCCTGTGTAATCATATGAAAATATTTGACACATTTGAAGCATTGGAAAGTTGTTTGTTAGTATTTGTAAAAAATGTTATATAAGTGACTATGAAAAAGGCATTTTCAAAACTATAATAGCTCAAAGATTAAGTATAGCTAAGTTGACAAGCAAACTTTTGTGATTTTCCTGCTGAGTTTCCTTTCAAAGTTCAGCAGGAAAATCATATTCTGGATGAAAACAAAAGTGACTCTTAACAGCAAAGGCATGCATATATTTCATTCGGCAACAAAAAGCCAATGTTTCATAAGGAAAGTAATAGAACATGTGCATGGTTGTGTTTCAAAATCAACTGTTTGTCATACTTTGTTGCAATCTGGAAAAGCCAAATCCAAAAGAATGAAGAGAAGACCATGTCATAAACCATATCACAAAGAGGTTAGGCTCACCTGAATCAAAAATCATGTATCTGGGACAAAGAATAGGCCAAAGTTATTTTAGGAACAAAAAGAAGTTTAATTATATGGGCAAGATGGTTTTAAATTTTACTGGAATGATCAACACGGGGAAGAACATTACTGTAGCAAAAAGATGCAAAGTGGAGGATCAGTAATGGTTTGAGATGACTGGATTAATGGGTAAAGCCTTTATCAGAAACTAGCAGATCCCGCCACGCGTTGTTGTGGCTCAAAATGTATCTATTATAAATGTATAACACTTCCCTCGTGGGGAGGTAATTTTTCGAAAAATCCCTTTTTAGTGTATATTCTGTTGACGTACCCTATTAAAACGCAATCAAAATCGCAAAAAACCGCATCTAAAATAGTATAAATAGAAGCAGAGTTCTTTACAGTAAGCCTTAATCCTGTTCATCTCCCCCAGTGGGGGGAATTTCGACACGTATATTATATAAAAACACGTGCGTATTCGAATGCAGCGTTGTGTCAAAATTTCAAAGGAATCGGTAGGAACAAACGAACATTACATTTTTATTTATATACATAGATAGAAGATGATCTGCTTTAGTTCATCCTCACAGAAAAGCAAACTTAGGTCATCGTACTCGTAGCGCCATCTGTTGGACATAAAAGCCTTAACCCTAGATGATATCTTTTAATTTATATGAATGTTTAACGGAATAATATACAGCCTATGTCCACCCTGAAGTTCCATTCTAAATATTGGTGAAAGAATTTTTGAAATCGGATGAATAGTTTCGGAGATTACCCCTACATCCAAACTTACAAACGTTACCTCTTTATAATATTAATATAGATAAATAGCAGGAGGTACTCAGTTGATTATCAAAACACGCTTTGCATTAATTTGTTGTCATGTGCCATCAAATTTGTGCTAGGAATTAAATCTTTTAACAGGATAATACCTCAGTTCATATTTCTCAGTCATCCAGAGTGGTTTGCCAGAAAAACATTCAACTTTTGGATTGGCCTGCATTAAGTCCTGATATAAATCTGTAAGAAAATGTGTGGGGGAATCATCACAAGATGGTACATAAGAATGGCCTGTAATTTTTTAATGTTAGACTTGAAGGCTGCAATTTGTGATGTTTGGAACATAATTCCTAAAAAAATTCTTAAAAATTAATTAAATCTATGAAAAATCAGATATTTAAACTATTTAATTTAAGTGGCAAGTTGATTGGTTACTAATTCTTACTTTTTTTTATATGCAATTCACTTAAGTTGATAATTTTTTAGGACAGGATAAAATTTCTTTATGCCAATTTTAAAAAAATATATGGGAGCATATGACTTTGTAGCATTTAATTCATGTAATAAACATGATTAAAGATATATTTTGTCTAATTGAAGTAACTAAGTTGTTTTTTTTTTTAATTTTAAATCAACATATGTTTAATTCATATATTTTGCCATGTATAATGCACACCCACATTTTTTACCCAAACTTTCAGAGGAAAATCTTTCATTTTAATTTTTTAATTCAAATTTTTATTTGTTTATATTTACATACATGTTTTTTGTATTATAAAGAAATTTTAGCATTTATTTTTTAAAATATTATGGTGCAAGAAATTTTATGTAACAAATAATCACAAAACACAAGAACAGATATAAGAGACCAAGAAATTTTATATATTGGTATTATTAAATTTATGATGATTTACACATCATAGAAGGCCAAGAACTTTTTATCACTGTCATTATAGATTTCTAGAGTTACTTCTTTTAACTTGTAAGCATAAGTAAGAATTAAAAACATTTATATAGATATAGAATTAGTACTATCCATGTATATATAATTCACATCCTTATTTTCCCTAATAAATTTGGCCATAAAATGCAAATTTGTGCATGACACACAGTAAAATATGATATTTGGAAAGCACCATATTTTCTATAAAAATTAATGAAATCTATATAACAAAGTATTTTATGCAAAAATTGCCAAAAACGTTTTATCCCTATTTAGGAACTTTTCCAAACAGTTCTAGAACATTGTTAGTTTGAAATTTGGAACCTACAAGAGAGAAAATTTCATATAATAATGCTAAATCCAGATATGTTTTTTTATTTCAAATAACTTCTAGCTATTTAACTCAATTCTACAATTCAAATAAAAAGAATTATAAAGTGGAAATTATGATAAAATGGTATTTTAAACCAAAATCGTTCATAAAAATCATTAAAACAGGAATTTTAAAATGAAAAGTGTTTTGATTTTGAGACTATAACTGACAAACACACTAATGATGTCCTGTGTTAGTTTGTTTTACTATGTTTACTTGAATACAGATGTTAATCGAATTTGTATTTAAGTAAACTCATATATTTTAACATATCATGAATTGCTATAAATTTAAATAATTTTTATTGTTTTGTTCTAAACTGTTTTTAATTTTTCTGTTTAAATCTGCTCTAATTCAAACAAGCTTTATATAGTAAAGGCAAAAGTACTTGAGTTTTGTATTCAGTTGTGGGTTCATGTCTTGCTTAAGGGGTGGCTGAAAGAATTTTTCAAGGTTTTCTTCATATTTGTAACACCTAAAGGCCAGTTTTCTATAGAAAGTCCTTCTGGAAGAATTCCATGGTAGATCACTTATGCATCACATTACCATATACAAACAAACTTGAGTTTTAACTATTTTATGAACTTTTTTTGACATCAAATGTCACTTTACTGTAATTTTCTTTCTTATTAACATTCTGACAGTTTGATGATAACAATTATTTGTTTAGAACTATTATTTAGCTTAGTCTGAGAAAAGCAACCAGTTTAATAAGAATTTTAGTTTTTCTAAAATTTATTTGAATCACTGAATTTTTATTTAATTATTCTAGTATACTACACTTAGATCATTATTAAATGAACCATACTTTAAATATAAAAGCAAACTCTTAATAATTTTTCACTTTATCACAGTTATCATCTTAGTACAAATTTTAAAATTGTTTATTTGCATTTTGTAAACCCTTCTGTTCTTTTACTGTAAGTTTTTCTTTTTCAAGGCTTTTGCTTTTTAATTTTCTGTTTTAACTTAGAAAGTTGTTGAAAGATAAAAGATACAATTCAACATAAAAAATGTTTTGAGATTTTCACACCCTTTCCAAAATAAATAATGTAGGCAACAGTTTTTGGTTTTATTATATATTTTTGATTTATTTTTACAAAGTAAGTTTATGAATGATGCAGGGAAGACTGTAACTGTCATTGTCCATAATTATATCTAGTATGAAAACAGCATCTCGGGTGCCTTTTATGAGAGCAGATAATTGGTGACTTTTGTCTCAGTTCTTGATCTGGATTTGTTTCTGATGCTACACACTTTGCTTTCTCATTACTTATTCCATGTCAAAACTATGTCAAAACTATGTTACTTATTCCATGTCAAAACTATGTAAAACATAGTGTTTTACATAGTTTTGTTTCATATCTCTCATGTCTTTCAGCCAATAAGTTGAAAATGAGACCAACTTTGACATGCTTCAGACTGTTTGCCAAATGTGTTTGTTGATAAATTATAATTATTAATTTAGATAAGAGATGGTGCCTAACATTTACCTCTAGTAGCAAATTACTTAGTATTAATTATTAAAATTAGCAGATTTATAGCCCAAGTATTTAAGGCAATCAGTTGGCTGTGTTTGTCTCTGATCAATTTTTGGATTTTCCAAACCTGGTTTTCTATTGCTAATCTGTCCCAGATCTTGGAACCCATCTACACTTTAAACTAGCAATTGCAAAATGTAACAATGATTTCTTTCATGAAGCTCAAAAAATCTTTACTTTTCACTATTTTTTTGTTTCTCCTGTCATTGTGATAATTTTGAGAAAATAATTATGTATTTAATAACATTCAAAAGCAGATAGATGGCTTCCTAATTCTACCTTACATATTCATTTTATGCTTGCAAATGCATCACAAATCCAAGAGTGCATTGATATTTGTGTAAAATCAATTTTAAATGAACAAATCTTAGTAAAATTGATCCTGCAACCATCAACCATAGGATTATAAAAGGATTTCCAAATTTTACAATAGCATGGCTTGTAAGATATTATATGTAGTACCTCACTTTAACTTATTTTTGAACATGTAAACAACTAGAGAACTTGAACTCTTCTGATTAAAAATTTCTAAATAAATGAATGATATCAAATCTTAAATATCTTTGATGTAATTTATTATGCTGATGTATATTTTTAAGTTTTCTAAAATCAGATTCAAGAAAACAGGATGTCAACTGTTGAATATCCTTTTTAAAAGTTTGACATATCCTGTTTTCTTGAATCCAATTTTAGAGAATGTATTGTATACAATATAATGTATACATCACATGAAATATACAGGATATACATCCTGTATATTTCAACACAAATTGACTTTTTGACATATTTATAATCAAATTATTTAGTGTAAAGTAATAAATCTAAAGAATTGTATATGATGATGATGATGTATTTTATTGTTGTGAGGGTCTACATAATCAAATTTCAATATAAATTTTTAGCATTTTTTTTTACTATATTCTGTGAATATTTCTCACTTTGTGCTTGAATTTTTCATGTTTTCTTCAATTAAAATGACTAAAATCACTAATAAATCCAAAATTTATGATTTGCTGCATGCATGCCTTTTGCAGTTTGATTATTCCATCTAGAAACTTTGCATTTTTTTAATGTTTTTTTCCCCTCGTAAATTTTCCACTTTAAATTTTAGAGAAATAAATTTAATGCATGTTAATTTATTACAGTTATCATTTCAGCAAATTGATCAATTAAAATGGTAAATTAAAAAAATGACTTTACAGATTCCTGTAATGTGGTAAATTGCTATTACATATTTGCTTTTATAATATGATTTTGTATGTTACAAATTAAGCAGCAAGCTAATTTTTATAATATGAATTATAATTTTCATATATGTATAGTTATTTAGTTACATACATAAATAATTTACGTACCACCGAAGTTTCTGGGTGGAACCCTCTTCTAACTCTGCATGCTCTCTCTTGTCCAGGTTCGTAATCTCGGTATGGGTTCTGGTACCTGCCTTGACAGCCCCGCGAGACGGGACGACCTACACAAACCTGTAGGACTCTATCCATGCCACGGGCAGGGTGGTAACCAGGTGAGTAACTGACTTAACGTTTCTCTCTTCGTCCCGTCTGTTGCTTCGTGTCTTTCTAACTCCCTAACGGTAACAAAAACTGCACGAGGAGAAAGGTATCTAAAAAGTTTCTATGAAAAATTGCCATGTAGATCAGCAGCTTGGCGGACAAAGAAATGGCTTGGTGTATCGAAAAATCGCCATTTAAACTAGGAGCATACTACAAACTTCAGATGTGGGAGTGTGTACTAGGAAGAAAGAGACAGGTAGTCATTTTCCATTTAATTTAATCAAAATACAGAAGGATGCTACTTTGATTAGTATAAATCATCAAATATTTACGTGCAGACTAAACAAAGAAAGGTTTGTTTTAGAGTATGTACAGGTAAATGTTATATCATCTATATTTAATGTGTCTTTTCTTATTTTATACATTAAGATTTTATTAATTTAGACATTACAGTTCAGTAAAATCTACTTATGACATTTTTTACAGTCTTATTGATAAATTACACACACATCTTTTCCTTATTGTTGTTAGCAAATTTATGTTTTGATAGTCAAATAAAATTTTGTTCCATTGGACAGAGAAACTGACACACCTGGTTATAATACTGTATTAGTAATTGTTTTGCACAGGATAACCCAATGATATGATCCTGCATGTCATTGTCATGTCCATAGATCCTTTTTCTAAGACAGTTCTATCCTTGTCTGTCTGTGTCTCTCAATCTATCACTTTACATGAAAACTTTTAATTTTAGAATCCTTTTAAATTTACAGATAATTGAATTGTCAATTAATAGAAGGAATTTGACTTGAAATTTTTTATTGGCATCTACCAGATGTGATACATTGAAACTTTTACTGTAGATTTGGAATCTGTTAATTAAGTATAAATAATAGATGTGTCGAGTAGATTTTACTCTAATTCATGGTACCGTATTTTGACGAGTATAAGTTGCACTTTTTTACTACTTTTTGGGGCTCAAAATCATGGTGCGTCTTATACTCGACTGGTAACCATTTTTACAGTGAAATTATTTACAGTAGTGGTCCACTCTAGGGACCAACCTGTGCAGTGATCTGTTAAGCATATGGTCTCTCAACCGAATGGCTAGAGTACCTAGATTATCAGAATAGCGACACACGAGTCATCGCCGCCATGTTCTGTCGACTGTCATTGTGTGACCTCTGAGTTTACATTAAGAAATGATGATTATTTCAGTTTAATAAAGGTGTCGATTCATCCATCCATCATATTCTTGAATAAAAAACGAATAAAATGCATCTTTTTAATAATAAAAATGAATAAAATGCATCCGTCACATTCTTGAATAAAAAAACGAATAAAATGCAATCTCCCATTAAAAAAGTTTTTTCTAAATTTTCTGTCTCAAAATAGCGGTGCGTCTTATACTCGACAGCAACTTATACTCGTCAAAATACGGTATTTATAAATTATATTTTGTACAAATTACTTTTTCTTCTTTTCTCTCTCCTCCCTGTGCTCACTGAGAGAGCTGCTTTTCACATCCATCACAGGTTTGATTAAGTTCACAATGATATCACCAAATGTCAAACTCCACCCCCCCCGAAAATATTGAGGATTTGATCCAGGTTCAGATTTGGATTTTTAACTCAGAGTAGTGTCTTTACATCATGCACCACACTGCTGTCAAGTACAGATTACAAACACTAGACAAATATAGTCTATTTATTTGACAATTTTATTTCATTGACTTACAGTTGAACTTAACCAAAGTTTAGAGAATTTGAAAATTAAAACATTAAAAATTTTAAAAACATTAAATCAGGGGTCTCAAATTCAAATGCATCAAGGAACCTGTCAAATAGATGTATATCAGACACGGACCATATTCAATATTATTTGGTAAACCAAAACGTGCTGCAATTAAAAAAGGTCTCTAACATAGGTCCTTTTGTTGCCAGGCCTTTATGACTTACATAAACAGTTAGACGTTTGAATTTTTTTTCTGCTTTGTTCCCTCGGAAATGTTGGAAACATTGGTATTTAGATAAGAAATCAAGCCTGCGGGCCAGATAAGAAGCTTTAACGGGCCATATCCAGCCAATGGGTCGCCATTTTGTGACCCCTGCATTAAATGATTCCTTTCTAAACTTAATTAACATCATTATTAACTTCTAGTCACAATTACCCATACAAAGGTATAAGGCTAAGGGGTAAGGGTATAATGGTAAAGGCTGTAGTCCATAAGAGATCAAAAGTATAAGTAATTCTGTCTTTTTACATCACTTGACAAAGCAAACATATTGTTATTGATTGAAAAAGCCAGGACCAATTTGTTTTGCTGCCGTTATTCCAATATTCTGAAAAGAACCCAAAGAAACATCTCATGAGATATGTGAAGCTTGGAGCAAAAATATGGTACCATATTGTAAATGAGAGTAGACATAAAATAAATAATGAAGCACAGAAGACTGTATCACATGTATTCTTTCTTCAAAGAAAGTTTCACAAAAGAAAATTACAGCTATGTCTAGCAAACTTAAACTTTCATTCTGTCACATTACATAATGTTAACGTGGCAATTGTCAAAACCCAACATACCCTGAATGCAGATAGTGCCCATTATCTAAATTATCTAAATACCAAAGTCCCCACCTGAACTTGAATCCGGATCTTCAGAGCAATAGATCAATGCCTTTAAGCCTCCACCATCTCTTTTATTTAACATACATTTATGACTACACACAGGACAGGATAATGCATATTATAATGTAGACAAGTGCAGATGTTTTTGGTAATATATTTTACCATTTTCACAATGCCGAACACGAATGTAAGCCGTGTAACACGATGACAATATGATTCTGTATCAACAGAATTATTTTGTAAATATTATAAAATGATATTTTTGATATCGATAAACATGAGAAACTGTTGGCAGTATTTAACACTTGGCAATGTGATTAATACAGGGAACACCTCCAACACTCGATTTCTGATCCTGTGTGCCAAAACTTCTTGCATCATTAAAAATTACATTGAAATCGTATTCGTTATTCAACTAGTAGGCATTGTAAGTTAAAATCCTGCCATACCATAAACATTTGCATACATTTTATGTTAACGAATGTTCTCCATATTACTCATAAAAATTAGTTAATTATTATGTTTATTTGTATACAAAGTTACATAATGTTGATTGAATTACGTTGGTATCTTTCAGTTCTGGATGCTTAGCAAACAAGGCGAGATTAGGAGAGACGAAGCTTGTCTGGATTATGCGGGAAAAGACGTCATTCTCTACCCCTGTCACGGCTCCAAGGGTAATCAGCTGTGGATATATAATCCGGATGTAAGTGGCGAAAGGGTGGATTTTGTTCTTTGGTTTTACATAATTGAAACACCTAACCGGATCTATTTTTCTCTGTTTAGACTCACAGAATAAGACACGGGAGCAGCGGCAAGTGTCTGGAGATGTCCACAGACAAGCAGCATCTGTTGATGAGAGAGTGCTCGTCCGAAGTGAGGCAGCAATGGAACTTTCAAAACTACGATGCTTCAAAAGCGGCCGGCAATTAACGATCGATAAACTTAGTCGCGTTGCAAATTTTACTTCCCTCCGGTCGTCCGGATAATCGGGATTCCGCTCGAAAGACGTGGAGAGAGAGAAACGTGCGACCGTCGACGAATCGTCAACGAAAGTGCCATTTTTGTTCTCGCAGTATTAACGGCCGTGGAACTCCGACCCGTCGAGGACCAAGGAAGATCTCTTTCGAAAAACATGCAAAAACACTTGTAAACAAGAAAAAATTGCCTTAAGACAGTCTAAAACGAGGGATGCCAAACCCCCATCACGTGCCTTAAGTGTATCGTCGTAACGGCGTAATGGCCGACGTAAATCGGTAGTGTTGACAATTTCGAGTAGCGACGATTTATTTCCGAAACGAGGAAGCCCAACACGAGAAAGACATTCCATAATACTTCAAAGCACGTGTGATATCGTGTGACCGTCTGTGGACGGGCGGCGACATTCCACCGAGACTGTAACGTGATGGGACAATTTTTTAATTAGGCAGGTCTACCGTAACTTAGTAAATTTAGGGGTTTCTTTTTGTTTTCTTCCTCGTAGTTACGACCAGGGAATATTTTTTGTCGTTATTATTATTGTTATTATTATTATTTTCCTTTCGTATAATCTTGTGTTCAGTGCTAAATCATTTGTTGTACATTCCCGGAAGTAAAATAAGAATTGATGAATTCGTGTACAAAGTTACTGTACAGAAAAAAAATATATTGTAACTGCAGGGATAACATTCGAGTGTATGATTTTTGATAGAACGAATAGGTTTTTACCAAATGCCCAGTACTTTCTGCAAAATTCTGGCACCAGAAAATTCTTGGTAGGAGTCCTTCCAGTTTGTGCCTTATACAAACACTTGTTTATTCCCGAAAACAATAAATCTTCAAAATCAACAGCTTGGTTCTTTGTTGTTTTTGTCTTTTTAGAAAATACACAAATTGAAAAGTCGAATCGTGAAAGAATGGAAAGATTGGCGTGTCTTGGCCGGGCCATGCGCGGGGATCTGGAAATTTTAAAAAGTTAGAGGGCTCGTTTTGGTAGTGTGTAGTGATTTTGTCAATCTGGTCCCTTCCATTCCACTACACATTCGGGACGTGTATTTTTACTCTGCCAATGACAAATTACATCTAACACGTGAAAAAAGAAAATAGATACTACATTGTAGGAAGTGTTTAGAATAAAATTCCGTCGCTAGATGGCAGTCGGAAAAGATCCGGGGCATCTGGCAATACCACGTGAGTGTAACAATACAATGTTTGCGATGTATTTGTTCTCTTGGTTTGTGGAAATGCAAAGAAAGTTTTATATCCCATAATTCTTTGCATTATTAATATAGGATGCAACAAAACAAATATTTATCTAAAATACATCCGAATATAGGCTCAAAAATACAGTATACTTCGGGACTAATAATTTATGCAAGTTTTGATATTTTAGCAATTGAATTTTTTTTAGTATTTTATCTTTATTACAAACCGAAAAATTCAAGACAAGAATACCGAGCTAGAGTTTCTTGCTCTAGCTACAAATTAGAGTGCACCAGAGTATAGCTAATCAGTAGTAGGCTATTGGCGACATAATCGCCTTGCACCCCTAACCTCTTTGTTGGGGACAAATCCCATCTTGGCTCCTGAGATAGTGGCTGTTTAAAACGCATCCGTAGTAGTACAGATAGGATTTGGCCCCACGAGAAAGAAGTAGGGGTATACGCTTGAATACTTGCCTATACTCTCGTGCATTTGTACTCGACTAACATGTAGTAAGTGGAATATTTTGTGTTGTGTGTGGTTATGATAAATGCTAAAAATTTAGTCGTTACCATATTTTAAAACGAGTGGTGGGTTCATGCATGCATCCTTCTAAGTAAATCCACCCGGTTAAAACAGACATGCACGCTGCTTTTCGTTCTGAGTTTGACCTCAAACGTTCTGACAGCTTGTATATTATATTCCTAAGCTCAGAATTTTGTTTACATCATAATACTAATTATGATGTAAACAAAATTCTGACGGAATAAACACGCTCTTCGAGGTGTTCCCTTTAGTTTGGTTTTATCCGTATAAGGCAACGCGACACATAGGCCATGTCTCCCGGGATTTTATTCATGTTAGTAACAAAACTCCCTGGCCAGGCGCGAACCCACGATCAAGTGTTCGATGATTTTATCCACTCCTGCCATTGGTGGGTTCGAGGTGTTCTGTTGGATCGTGTGGCCGCATACCACTTGACTCGCGCGAATGTTTCGACCATAGTTTGTTTGAATTAGGAACTTATCATGGACAGTGGCATCCTCAAACTATAAAAAAAGGGCATCGTACATTATGCAAGCTTCAAACTATGACTCAACGTCAGATCGACACTAACTTGGTATCGGGCCCACCAGTGGCCAAGTGGTTCAGTTCCCTGAACACAGAGTTCGGTCGTGGGTTCGCGCCTCGCCCGGACGGGCTGGCCATGCGGAGTTTTCCGGATTTTCTCCACGTTTGTAACGCCCGAATAGAGGCCAGAGACCTCCTGGAAGACATTATTCCCCGCGTAACGACCATCATAAACGCATACTACTGCTATTACATAACAATTACGTCACACTTTACCACGGGGGCGATATAGACTAGAAGCTCATGCCCAACCACTGATGCAGGACAAGAAACTTGGCCTCGAAACAAGGAACGACGAAGTTACACAGGCCAAAGAAACCAATGAGCTATATTTGTTCATTAGTCTAGAAGTCGTGAATTTTCTGTTTGTCGATCGTGTAATTTGGAGCCCCTTGGGGATTTTTTTAACTCTTTCCGCCCTGTGGGCACTAAGAGGGCTTCTTTTTGCAAGCCCATTATGGGTTCGGCCAGGTCCACAATGGGGCTGCCGGGTGGTGAGAGACGGGGCCCGACATATCCGAACGGATCACACCCCGAAAAATTCGTGGGGATTTTTCGACCCGTTCGGATTCGAACCCGGGTCCCCCAGAACGGTAGGCTGCCACCTTGACTGCTCGGCCATCTGGCCGCTGCCCCTTGGGATTAGGAAAGGTCAACACAGACGATAAGGGGCCACGTGCCGCGATACACGGCGCAAGCGTCTACCAATTCATCCATTCCAAATTCGAACAAAATTAATTTTTATAAACTTTATTATAACAATTATTAAATTTTAAAACCTTTTTAAATATAGCATAGCAAAAAAAAAAGACAGGGCCGAAGACACTGTGGCGAACGAACAACTATTGAATTTCGCACTTCCTCCATTAACATACCGCTACAATCAACAATTTTGGTAACCGCGATGGCCGGTCCGAATTTTGGCACAACCTGGAGTGAATGCGGGAACCGGGTGCCGATAGTCTGTTCGGTTTCAATATTTACACGTAGCACCAGATTCTAGAAACACCTTAACGACATACGAATTGATAATACAAAGCACCCGTTACGGCAACGACACTGGTAAATTCTGTTACGGTTTCGAGTAGACAATGAAATGGCATAAATTTTCGTTAACAAAAGCGACCTGGCTGTCTGCAAGTCGGGAAGATTTCTGGCTACCTGCAAACCTGCGTAGATTTTTTCCTACCTTTTTCCCTGAAGTTAGACGTTAGCTACAATGGAAATTATACAACTAAACTGTGAAAGACGACCGAATTGCCCGTGACCATCTTGAGCACTTAGTGGGCCAATGGCTTGTGAGTTTACAAAATTGCATCCGAAGAACAGAAATGCGCTCCATTTCTCTTCTTCGAATTTCTATTATTAAACAGTTTGCCTTCTGTAATGGATCTGTACAATTGTAAACATTGTTTTCGACACAAATTGGATAGTATCTAGCACTGCTAGATTGTCTAAATTAATATAAATAGCTTTAAAAAAATTGCTAGTAGCACTAGTGACCTTAAAATTCGGGATAACCGTGAACGAATCTGTACATCCATTACGACCGCGTACAAAATGTTCGAAAGTTGTATTAAAATTTCTGGTAGTGCGACCGAAAAATTGGTTTAAGAGAACTTTCTTTCCATAGATGGCTGTAGTTCATGTTCCGCTTCACCAAAAGATGTCATTTTGGAAACAAACTTTTGTATTCCGTGTTAAGTGACGAATCACACGTGGAAGCGTGTTGGCAGTTTTTTCTAGAATTAAATAGTTTTTTTTTGCTTTGGGATGACGAAACTTTACTCTCAAAATCCCAAAGCGGAACAGTTTTTACAGCTTCTACGTGCTCGGTACGGGTCATATGTTGTTGGCTTCTTTTTCTTTATCACTCGTTTCTGCAGGCATGTACCCGGGTTTCCTCCTCTTGAAGAATCCAAACTGAAAAAACATTTTTTTTTTAAATTAAATTTTCTAATAAATTTTTAACATATTCACGAGAAAATTCTACTTACTTTCCACAGACATAGGATAACGATGATTAACAACAACACTCCTCCGCAAACTGCCAAAATGATTATCCATAACGGAACGGGTTCCGGTTTTTGATACAGCGATTTGTCGGGCTGAACTTTGCTCTCCGCCTAAATTTGAAGGACCCATTAACACTAACAATCTCTGTCTAACTACCCTAGTGAATTAAACCTTACCATTGCCCTGTCGTTTTCCAAATCCTTCTGTTTGATTCCGAGCTTAGGATCCAGATGGATTCCGCCTCTAGATATTATCCTGACAAAATTTACGTCTCTGTAATCCTGTAATGACAATTACTAATGAGATAGAAATTCGAAAACGTCGTCTGAATACTTATTTTGATTTGTTGATTACCGAAACAAAGGTGCTGCTCCACAGACGAGACCTGATGACAATTCGAGCGCTCTTCTCTCCATCCAGATCCTTTATGAAGCAACTAAAATTAAAACATTGTGCTGTGCCTATGTCGCAATCCTGAAAAACTTCTTGATTAGCATCGAGTGAAATCGTCACGTGTAAGTTTAAAATTTATTAAATTACCATGGTGACGATCTTCACCATCTTCCCCTCCATCCTAAGTTCTTCCGGTTTTATTACCACTTCCCTCTTCTTTCGCTGGCGCGGAGCAGTTTTCAGGCCTTCCTCCTCCCCCGTCAGATTTATGTCCGGTTTTTTCTGAAATTAACTTTTCTTTAATATACATTATAAATATACTTTTTAAAATGTCAGTAGCAGTCACGGTTATTTAGCACAGTAGCATGCAATTATGTATAAACATGCATTACAAATTATTGTAAACAAAGAAAAAAATCAATTCTTTCCACTGTATTCGTACAATTTTAAATGCGGTAACATTAAAGCGTGAGCAGAATGGTTTTGTTCCTTCAGATGTAATTTGCACGAACAGAATTAAAAAGTTATTTATACAGGGTGGCCCAAAAGTTGGTTAACAATTTAGTATTTACACTGTCTTATTCAAATACTTTAATCAAACCAAACCAGATCCTTCTTGTTCAATAGGCAAATTATAGCAGATTAACAGTCAATTTACAATTCGTATTTATAAATGCACCAGGACAAACACGCACGCAAAAACTAGTTACCTGACTTTCGGGCCAACACTTAAACAGGAAAATACAGCCTGTATATAAGTTCATAAAATCCATCCTAATTTATTAGTTTATAGATGCAGATATTTCAATAACTTCTTCCTCCGATAAAACATTCCTTTCTGTCCAAGAAATTTTTGAATTTCAGAGAAAGGAGGAAGTCTGACATAACAGATTAATATGGAACATATGGTAACAATTTGAAGTAGAGTTTGTGAAATTTAGCATCACAATTTTAACTGTGTCTTGCAAAACCTCTGACATGCCAATTTTTTGGGTAGGATACAATGTGCCCATTCAGTTGAGATGCCTGTAACCTGATAAATCTCACACGCTTCAATTCAGAGGTCTTGCAACACTATCATGAAGTTTGTTGATGGTTTCTTCATCCATTGCTGTTGACAGTCATTCACTTTGAGGATTGTTTTCCGAACTCTCTCTACCATGTTTAAACAAATCTGACTGCTTTTTTACACCAAAAACAATGGAGCACATTCACCTAACATATTATCCTTACTGGTTTCAATTTTTTTTATTTTAATTACATCATTAATGCATTATAATTTGAATAAGTTTGAAAATTTTGTAGTAGAATACTGACATGACACATATTTTAGTGTAAATAATTAGAAATCTGGAGGTGTGCATAACTGAAAATCAATAGTTTTGGTGTTATGTCACTAATGTCCTAGGTCAGGAGTATCAAACTGGCGACCCCTGATGTGATTTTTCTGAAATTAAATAAAATGGTTTACAGATCAAGATTAACTGATAAACATCTATTTGCCATAATGATTGTTCTCAGTCTTTGAATCCAGATATTGGAAAACTAGTAGGAGGAAGGTAGTGCTGGCAAGTTTCTGGTGAAAACAATTAATTTTAGTTTTACAAATATGCACTGTACATTATATAAAATAAATGTTTAAATAAAAACAATACTATAGCAATAATATATTGTTGAGTTGAATTCATTGAACTACATAATATGTTTTAATTGCCCTATCTATATTCCTGCATTCTCACTTCAAATTACAATTTTAAGAAAATTTGTAAATGTGATGTGGCCTGTGTGAATCTTACCAGTGCATTAATGGTCCATTGTTTAAATCAGTTTGACACACCTGTTTTAGGCAGTAATATATGATGCATTGTTTTAGTTATAAAATTTATATCTTTAATGATATCAATGTGGTTATATGCTGACTATGATACATTTCATATTTTGAAAGTTATGAATAGGATCTTTTTAAAATATCTTAAAAAATTTTTGAGAATATTCTCTACAGCCTGTTATGTTTATAAAATATTTTTGATCAGAAGGTTGGAAGTACTCCCTCCTGAACTATAGCTCATTTTCAGAGTACTAAATCTATTTCCAATCATACTGTTGAAAATAAACCATTTATACAAGCATATTTCAACTGCTTTAATTAATCAGCTTCATGTTCAGAGAAGAAAGTTCTAAATTTACACTGATTTACATTGCAAAATGCATAATATTTAAAAATTAACACACGTTAACATTTTACAACTTTGAATTTTGTTTCTAAACCTGAAGCTAATTAATGTAGTCAAAAATGTTAGTGTTCTAAAAAATTTGCCTGTTTAAAAGGTTTGTTTTCAGTTTTATGCTTTACCCTTTATGATGTGTTTTCATCAGAACAGTTTTTAAAGTTTTGCTTATTTTAGAAATACCCTGTTAGAATAAACAGTAATATGTAAACATAAATATGTATCTAATAAACTTTTATTTTTTCAAAATTAAGATAAATTTATTTTGATTTTAATACAAAAAAAAATTAATTAGCATATAATAATAAAAATATATTTGAAATTTTCGAAATTACATGCATTAAAAAACATATAAAGCAAACAAAATGTAGCATGTCATGCCATGCAAATGAACAAAACAAACAAAAAACAAAAAAATATCACAAAACAACACAAAATTACAAGTCAAAAATGTTTATAAACATTTGTCCTTGACTCACTTACTGTCGGTATCTGGTATATTGGATTTTCCTGATTGCACAAAATGTAAAAATTTGAAAAAAAACAACATTCTTTAATTAAAACATACCAATTATCTCAAAAAATCCATAAATTCATACATTATACAACATTTCAATTCTGATAATTCATGACAAAGAAAATCACTTTCTTTATTCTATTACTACTAATGGCAATTAAACTAGTTTTTACATATTTTGAGTTTCATGCATGCAGCTGAGCACATTCATGATATACTCAAAAATACAATGTGATGTCTTCTGATAAAATCATGCTGATGGTTCAAAGTATGATAGCATAATAAAAATTTACTCATGCAGATATAACTAAGCTTTTAATCTACAAAAATGAAAAACTAATGTTTTTCTCATTAAAAATAAATTGTTAGATTTTCAAGAAATTTTCAACTTGAAAATACAATTTATTTTAATGACTACAGAACTGATATGTTGTCAAAATAATCAAATAACAACTTAAAAATATCTTTAAAAGTCAAAACTTTCATGCACATGGAATATCATGCAACTGAAACATGAATAAATCATTAAATTTATAAATGTATCAGATAATTTTAAAAATATTCATACAAAATGAGTTATAAATTATTTTTGAATTTATTTTATCAGTATAAAAAGTTCACCTTTTATATTGATATATATTATTTCTCTTTATTTTAAAAAATATGCTGAAATTGTAATTTGAGATCATTATTCAAATTTATAATTGATTTTAAAAAACAATTTATTGTATTGCTACTTTTTTATAATTAATTTCTATCAAACTTCTTTTATAAATGAAATTTGATACTAAATATCTAAAAAATTAAAAATTTAATAAGTTAAGATTTTAATTTATTAGATATTTAGTATCAAATTTCACTTATATATTTACTTTAAAAATATAAATATGTAATGTAAACTGTATCTTCAAAAAGTCTTAATAAATTTTTTGAAGAATAAAGATTTTAGAATAAAATAAATGTTTTGAATTTCTTTATCCTAGATATTTTCAAAATAATTCATAAAACTGCTATTTGTTGTATCCATCCAGATAAAATCAAAGGAAATATAAGTCTAAAAATCTTGGAAAATACAACTTTACTTTCATAAAACATCTAAAACTGTCTCTAACCTTACTCAAGAAGTTAAATAATTTTTCATAATGTTTAAGAGAAACTCCATCTTCATTGATTGTAACACTATATATTGTTTCTTGGCTTCTACATAATCTTGATAATTTGGGAAATATGACTTCATGTTCCAAAATGTTGTCTTTAATGTCTTTAAAATGTTATGATAAATAAAATATTTGAATCTTTGAATGAAGTTTGATACAGTTTTATATGTTTAAGCTCAAAAAATGTTTTACAGTTATCTGAAATAAAATTTCTATTAAATATTATAATTGTTTTTATAGTAAATAAATAATAAAATGATAGCACAATTATCTAAAGTTTATATTTTAATTTATGCAAAAAAAGAGAGGAAAGCTTTATGTTGTTTTTGTGGACTTTCAATCTGCTTTTGACACTGTTAATCATAAACTTTTATGGGCTCTACTAGAAAGAATGGTATAAATAAACAGTTTCTTGGCCTTATTATATATATTGATATACAGTAGAGCATCAATTATCTGACTCAATTGGGGACTCAGGTTGGTCAGATAACTGAAAAAAATCAGATAACCGAAAAGAATGAAAAAAATACATTATTAGTATAGTATATTAGTATATCCCACGTAATTAGTATATTAGTATATTGCTATTAACCAAGTTCGCATTGAATTTTCATTGATGGTAAGCCTAACAAAAATTTTTTAAAAATAATAATCGTCGCTATTGTATTGTTAAAAATTATTTTTAAATTACTTTATTGCTCACAAAACAAACAACCACTCATAATTATAAAATTAAGTTTTGTTTAAATACTGGCCTCCCTTCTATGGTCGAGCTATGTTGCCAGCTAAAACATGCAAAAATTTAACAAAAATAATATTAAAGTATCCAAGACATAGCCAAATATTGTAGCGCCACATCACTAGCGGACATTTGAAATTTTCTGACTAGAACGGTCGGTTAACCGATATAATGGTTAATCGGGGGTTGGATAATCGATGCTCTACTGTGTATTCCAAAGCTACTGTAAGAGTGAAAATATTATCTGAAATAACCGATTCATTTGGTGTCAATATAGGAGTTTTGCAGGATACAATTTTGAGTCCACTGTTTTTTAATTTGTATGTCAATGGTCTGATAGTGTGACTTGTTAAATCTGGTTTACCTGGGATTTCTCTCTCTGATCAAGTTGAAACATGTATTAATGTATGCTTATGACACTAATTTTGGCAAACACTTCACTAATATTACAAAAGAAAATTATAATTCTAGAAAAATTTTTTCATGACTATGAGTTATCTCTAAGTGTTTAAAAAACAAAGGTAATAAAGAAATGGTATTCAAGAAGAAAGGTCAGCTGTCACCCAAAGAGAGATGGTTTCTTAACAATCAACCTTTACAAGTTGCTTCAAATTACGTATACTTGGGAGTTTTATTTTTGTCTTCTGGACAATTCTTACAAGCTAAAAATCATAGTATACATAAAGCTAAAATGGCACTGGGTTCTATGTAACCTATTCTCTCAAGAGCAAAAATTAATTCTGTTTCAACTTATATAAAATTATTTCATCTGTATTACTTTATGCCGCTCCTATATGGGCAATCACTTACTATGATAAACTGGAAATTGTCGTTGCTTTATAGTTTAGGAAATGCTTCATGTTATATAATAAAATTCCAGTGTACATGTTGTGATTGGAGTTTGGAGTTTCCAGAATATCAATAATTACAATAAAAGTAATAATTTGATTTTGGATACATCTTTTAAAATTAGACAAAAAAAGTTACGTTAAACGAGCGTATGATAAATTTCATAAATTGTGTTCAATGTTAAACGATTGCACATATAATTGGGCATCGGCATCTGCTGGATCAAATTGGTTTTTCTTTTTTATGGTTATCTCAGGATCCTCATCTGATCGAATGTTATCAACCGTTAATTATAAGAATGTGCTGTGAGCAAAGCATCAAGATTGGTCTCTGTTAGAAAAGAATAAGCACTTTCTATTATATTGTAGCATTAAAACGTCTTTTATATGTGAAGATTATTTCCTTACAGATATAAATTATTATGTTAAATAACTAATCCTTCATTTGAGATGTGGTCAAAATTATATCTTAATGTATAATAGCAGACTAACAATAGATCCTGAAAAAATATGTATTAATTGTACTATGCAAGCATATCAAACTTGGGAACATGTATTTCTTCACTGTGTAAAATTTAATGTTAGTAGGGACAAGTATTTAATTAGGTTTAAATCTTGGAAAGATATTATTAATATATCATCTTTTTCAAAAAATAATTATTACTCTATATTTTATTTTGTGATATTTTGTACTAAATTATTAACTGTGAAATTTTATTCCTAATTTATTTTTATTTTTATTATTACTATTTTTTTGTTTTTGTTACCCCTTGTGCCAAACTAAGGTTCATACAATAAAGATTGATTGATATTCTTTAATTTATAGGTTTTTTTTTCTTTAGAAATTATCATCAAATGTTTCAAAGAAAAATAGGCATTATTCTTTGGTAAATAAACAAAATTAAATTTTGTAAAATTTTTAAGCAATTCAGCTAATAAAAAAAACTTGTTCTATAAACTAACAAGTAATTATTTATTGTGACATCATCACAATACCAGGCTGCAATGCTCTCCACCTCAAATTAGTAGTGTCTTGCCCCTGTACATCATACTTTTCCTTTAAAAATAGAGTCATGCAGGTCATATATCTAACTCCTTTCAGGGTAAAACTTTTAAATTGAAATAGCGTGACTTACAGTTTGCATCAAAAGTTTGTATATAGTTAATCGGGGCCTCTTGCCCCTAAGGTTTCCATATCTGGTCTCGTCTTTCATCTATCTAACTCTATTCTCAAGATTAAGGAAAGACGGGCGGATAACAGTGGGAATTTATAGATCTACAATCTTTTCAAATTTCAGCCCAATTATAGATGAAGTTTTATGCATATAAGAGAAATATATAGTTTAAAATACATTTTTCTTTAATTACGTGATTTAAGCATTATGCAAACTACATCAGTTATGGTGAATATCTCACAAAAAACAATTTTTATTAAAATCTAAAAACATAAGCATCTAAATCCATAATATGACATTAAGAGCAATGTTTTAATACATTCATCTGCCAGATCAACAGCATCAATAGGAATATGTCAAAATGAAAAACATATTTTAAAATTCCATAAATATAAAAAAACTCTAGTTAGTTACTTATATTAAACTAAACTTCATATCTTCAAATATAATTTTAATAAGGCATTGTCCATTATAAAATAAACAAAAATGTCCAAAAAAAGTTAATAAAAAAATGCTGGAATATGAACCATGAACCACTAACTAACATTTTAATAGAGTACATTCTGACAATAATTGATTTAAAATTGATTTTTAAAACAAAGTTTGAATAAAATGTGTTTAGATATTAAATATGTTACTAAAAAAGTTTTAAACTGGGATTAAAAATATTTCTTTCACTTAAAACATTAACAAGTAATGTAAATATTAATGAAAATATTTTTATTAATTTTAAGTACGATACCATTTAAACTGAAATTTGTATTTACAATCAAACAAAAAACTCTTTTTAAGCCTATAAACAATAATTGCTCACTATGTAAAGAATATATAATTATTGGTTTTCTTTATCTGAAGTATGTACATTACTAAGTTTTTAAGGTCTTAAATACTTATATATTTTAAAATATTATTCTACATGAAAGACATTTCTTACTGATCTCAAACTACATCAAAACAAATTAAAAGTCTTTCAAACTAATTTAATTATTATTTACAAAACTTACTTTATATCGCAAAGGATTAACTTGACCAGGTTGCATTTTACAGAAACCATTTCCACGTATCTATAATATAGAAAATATTAATATATAGTTTTTATTTTATGCCTATTTATGATTGATTATGAATATTCATTAAATATGTAATTAATGGCTTATCATGTACTTACCTCTGGAACCTCAGTCATATACAATATCCATTTTCCTTCTTCTCCTTTGTTTGCTACTTCATATGGCCAAGAGAATACAATTTCAATAGAACTAACTTTAGCAGGACCATTGTTGATGAGCTAAAATTATCAAATTCTCTTCAAAACACATTACTCAAATTTTATAATCTATAAATATAAACTGTTCACTTACAAAATAGGTATGATCAACTGGACTTCCTATATCTTCCAAGTATGTTATTCCAGTTTCGCCTACTACTTCCCCACCATAGAATATCTGTTCTTTGTCATGCCCACTATTGTAAAATTGTTTTTATTTAATTGTATTTTATAAAAATGTGAAATATATTTGCTTATTGTTAAATATATAGATATTTACATTAGACAAATTAAAATCTTACCCTCTCAACTCTAATTCTGCAACAATAATAACATCCGCATCCAAAGTTAAATCATCTTCAGGTGTTAATTCAACGCTTGTTCTAAAGGAAATATTTTTTTAAATTAGAATAATGAAGAAATATATTATTTTAAATTTTATAATAAAATTAAGAATATATTTTAACATACGTATTAACTTTTACTTCAAAATGAAGTTTTTTTTCTTCAGGTAAAATATTTTTTGCACTAAACCAAATTTGAAATTCAACCTGAACATAAAAGATTATTCATTAATTTTTATTAAATAAGATATTTATTGAATGTACAAAATGACCTACTTCTCCTGATTCCATTGGATTATTTAGTTCACATTTTAATACAGATTCCATTGGAATACAGTTCACAGGGTCACCTTTCTACAAAAATGAATTAATATTACTAAATAATGTTATTCATTCTATCATTAAGAATTAAAATCATACTTACTATCATTTTCTTATTTCCGTAAGTCAAACTAGGGGAATGAGTAACATATACAGTTGCATCATATGCAGATTCATTAGTGTTTGTAATTTTAAGAGACATATTAATAAACTTTTCTCCAAGAGGAAATTCAAAGATATTGCCTTTCCTAATAAACAAATTCAATAATGCATGAAATTCAATTATAATTATAAAGAAAAATGTTGAATAATTCATATTATTCTCACTTTTGCAGATTAAGTTCAGCTTCTAAATGCAAATCACATTCACAGATTTCATTTGAACCACAAGCTTTCAAAAATTTGGCCTAATGTGAATTTTAATCAATAATTATATATTTGTAAAGAAATCAATTGTTTATTTGAATATTATAAATATTTACCTCAAAAACTTTTGATGCTTCAACTTGATTTAATATTGGATATTGATTTATATCTGGAAGTCTGGTTCCTTCAGATGGCATAATAGGATCTTTCTGAATCAAACTATATGTCATTTTAAATTTAATAGGATTTTGGATGTCAGATTTGTTCTAAAAAATAATAAAATAAATTAAAATTTGTCAAATTAAAATATAAATAAAGATCAATGTTCTCAACCTATGTTCTGCGAAACACCAGTTTTCAGCAAACATGCCCTGAATGTTCCACAGAGAAAGGATTTTAAAATTTTATTGCAAATTTATTTTAATGTAGCATAATACTTTATTCATAGATACTTCTATGTTTACTATTTTATTCAATACAATAAAGTTTATTAGTTTATTGCTTTATTGTTTCATGAAAATAGTAAACATGGAATTGCTTATTAAGTTTTGAATATATTGATGTTAATGCCCTGCATAATAAAAAATATATAAATGGGGTTCTGCAGCCTCAGAAAGGTTAAGAACTACTGGTATAGATTAACGTTTATGACATTTACCTTTAAATATACAATTTCATCAAAACAAGAAAGTTTATATACATTATCTTCTTTTACTCTGATATCTTTTGTCACAACATTTGGTGTATTACTCAAAGAAGAACCAAATGTTACACGATAATATTTTTTTCCTGTAAATGTTTCTGCCTCAATTCTATAACGCAATTTAATACTTGTCCCTTCAGATAAAACAGATGAATTGAATTGGAAGCACGCTTGAAATGAAAAGCTGTAATAATAATTAAAATTAATTTAATAAATATCTTAAATATATATTTCCTTCACGCATTATTTTATTAGAATGAAATATTTAGTTTTTACCAAACAAGATCAGCATCTCTGTCAGCTGGACATCCAAGAACACTTGGATCTATGTTAGTTAACTTTCCTTTCACTGACGTTACAATGTTGATAATTGGACGTGCTCTAAATTTTAAAATTTACCCTTAAATGATTTTTATATATGTATCCATATATTTAACTTATTAAATGCAAGCATTATTAATTTTTATTATAATAATTTCAATAAGAAAAATATAATACCTTAATAAAATAACTGCATCACTATCATATGCTCCTACAAGAAGATCAGAATACCCATTTCTATCCATATCCATTCCACCAGAAAGAGAATATCCAAAACTTGTAATATTTACTCTAGACAATACTTGTTTAGGAAAATCTTTGGCATAAATTATCTATAGTATATACAAACAAAATTTATAAATTTTTAATACCTTACATTTCAAATGTTACATGTACTATTTTTATCATTTAAAATAAAACAAGAACTAGCATCTTTTCAATTAATGATTTAATATACCTGTGAAGGTTCTTTACGAAGGCCTTCTGGAGATCCTAGATAAATATACACAGCACCTTGACCTTCATAAGGAGCCCCAACAGCAAGATCTGTTGTAATTATATTTTAATTAAATATACAATTTTCATTAATAATTCGTAATAACTTTAACTTGTTCTTATTAAAAATACTTACCAACATAACCATCCCTGTTTATATCTCCAGCATTAGCAATTGCAAATCCATATCTAGATTCTGGTTTCCCTGTTAATTTCTCAGGCTTTCGTGAAAGACCCTTCAATAGAATATAATATTTAAATATTTTTTAATATTGTATCAACTTTAATTTCAAGTAATTTTACTCAAAAATGTTTAAATACCTCTTCATGATTCATATAAATATAAATGGCACCACCTTCATTTTTATCATAGTAAAATGGAGCACCAACAACTAAATCAATGAGGCTAAATAAAATTTGGACAAATTAACTACTATTCTAAAATTCACATTTAATTATTTTTACATTATGCAATAATTGTAGAGCATCATCATCAATTAATTTGAACACTTATAATAAGGTGATATTATCTTAATACAAACTATAACCCAATTCTTATTACCAAAGTAAGCCTGAACTGATGAATTATTTTTGGACTACATGATAAGTAATTATTAAATAATTAATATTGACTTTCTTTAGACTAAATTTTGATATTAATTAATTAATAATTAGTAATAATGTAGCAAATGGCTAAATGGCCAAGGCAACTAAGGTGTCAGTCCACCACTCTGGAGAATCAGGAAATGAGTCCAGGTATTTAAAAAACTCCAAAAATTTTTCATGTATGTTCCATCCTAAATATATCAGACACCAACTCTCACCGTCCAGTCACACCCATGTGGAATCAGCCAAACTCACAATGGGTATACAAAAGACTTTCATAGTACACACAGAGCTTTAAAAAAAAAAAAAACTAATAAAATAGGTAAAACAATTTAAAAATTTAAGCTTACACTTGGCAACATTATTATTTACTACAGTTTATATTTCCTGGAAATCAATTAATATAATTAAGTAAGATTGCTACATAATTACCTAAATTTAAATGATATTTCAATATTAAAATTTACAGAATAATTCAAATTAATATCAATTAGAATTATTATTATTTTTAAAATAATTGTTCATCACTTCTAATTGGAATAATATAGTATCATATACAATAACTTAAACTTATATTTTAACAGTTTAATATATATTAAAAGCTATTGACAAATATTGTGCAATTGGATAACACAAATATCGAAAATCTTTAATATACGGGTTCTCGATAGAATTAGTGTTTGAATATCTCCAAAATAATGATCAACGAATCAGTCAACTAATATATAGAGTAACAGAACACTCAATAATACAAGATACAGAAGATATTCAAAAAACAAAAAATAATTGTTATTCTGAGATCTTAAACTTTCCATCAATTAATAATTATATGAAAACTAATATTGCATTTAATGTTAAAAAAATTTTTATACNTCATATAATTATTAATTGATGGGAAGTTTAAGATATCAGAATAACAAACTAATATTGCATTTAATGTTAAAAAATTTTTTATACAGTTTAGACTTAACCAAAAAGGATTGATGATTAACGATAAGTACGTAGAATATGAAAAATTCAACTGTCCAATATGTAAGAAAAAACTATTGAAAGTACATTTATTACATGTAAGTGTGGAGAATAAAGAACATGAACTAAAAACTAATAAAGAACAAAATAATAATTGTAATGAAGAAAAAGAAATGTATATAAAGTTGGATAAAACCAATATTAGCAAAATATATAAATACAGTAGAGCTTCGTTTATCCGAAAGCTGGTTATCCGAAACATCTGTTATCCGAAAGCATTCCAGTCGGCAAATTTAAATTTTCGCTAGTGATGTGGCGCTGCAATCTTCGGCTATTTCTCGGGCTACTCAAATATTTTACGTTTTTGATACTAAATTAACATCTGAAGTATAATTTNAAAGTTAAAAATAAAAATTTAATGTCATTCAAAGATGTTGACATCAGCAAAAATTTTTCAAAAGAATACAATCAGAGTAACAGAAGGAGAATATAATGGATATGTATGCTTTTTCTCATTTAATATCACATTCTTTGCTTTCTTATAAATTCTTGGTAGATTTTGAAATTAATATTTGTAATTTTTGTTAAGTTAATAAACATTGTAAATAAAATAATAAAAACTCTTAAACAGTTTTAGAAGTTTTGAATTTAAAAATATTTAAATAATTGCTTAATATTTTAACTTTTTGATTTCAGTTTTTATTTTATAAATTTAAAAATTAACTAGTATTCAATTTTTTAATGTGCAATTGTAAGTTTAAACTATATTTTTTACACATATTGTAATATTAAGTATTAGATACATTCATACTCAATGTTTTTCTTTGTAGAATTTATTTAATTTTAACTTTGATTAAAATTTATTTAATGTTATATTTATAAGCTAAATATAAATAAAATAATTATATCAAGTAAATTTTGTGCAAAATAATTAACTCAAAAAAAAATTTGTAGAATAAAAAAGAATATTATATTCAATTACAGAATATCTAAACAATATTTTTTGGGATCCAATAACTTCAAAAAACTTCAGAAACAAAATGGGCCTGTGTAAAAAATTTCTAACACCAAATTCAATAATGATCTTACTAATCTTAATCAGTTGTAGAAGAATTACTAAAATAATGTCAAACATGAAGAAGCAACTTATTTTAGAATTAGAAAAGCTATCAACTTTTATTATCTCTAACAAACATACTTCATTCTATTTTTTATAATTTGAATTTTTCTAGTATTTTTGATGATCTGTTTGATTCTAAAAATATATATCAAGAATATAAATTGATAAAAATATTATAGTTACTAATCCAGTTTTCTATAATGTCACAAGTTCAGAAGAAACACTAAACAAAAACAAATCTCTTCACAATTTGTCCTTTTCTCCACACCTCAAGATCAAATAAAATAGTCTAAAGAGAACCACAACAGAGTTTATCTTTATTCTTAGGTTCTCATCCACTCTAATATTCAGAACAAGTTATATCAAGATCACTGGGATAATCACTATTTTATTAAAAAGATGTATTTCCATTTCAGATTTACATTTCTTCAAAAACTGTTAGATTCTAAACAGGATTTTGATGTATGTAACATAGTCCAATATTGCTTAACTTACATTACAATACATTAATTTTTTTATATGTCTATTGTAATAAAAGAAAATGTACATTTTATCAGTACTAGTTCACATTCGAGAACCTTAGGAGTCTAGTAACAACAACACTTTAATGGATAACTAATGTTTTTGACTGTACCCTGGTATTCCTCAAGTTTTTAACCAGTAAGATTCAAACTTGGAATGCAAAGAACAATATTTACAAATTATTTTTATAAAACCTATGAAATGTGTAGAACATGTTCAAAACTTATTTTAAAATCTATGGAACAATCTAAGTGCGTGTAGACAACTTTTATCCATATATGTTACCATGGCAATAGATATATATCTATACCATAAACAGTGAATAATACAATATAAATAATGGTACAGAAAAAGGTTGCNTTTGATGACAAAACTTGTAAATTTATTATATAAAAAATCAAGAATTAAAGATATTAAGCGCTATTGGATAACGCAAATATCGAAAATCTTTAATATATACGGATTCTCGATAGAATTAGTGTTTGAATATCTCCAAAATAATGATCAACGAATCAGTCAACTAATATATAGAGTAACGGAACACTCAATAATACAAGATACAGAAGATATTCAAAAAACAAAAAATAATTGTTATTCTGAGATCTTAAACTTTCCATCAATTAATAATTATATGAAAACTAATATTGCATTTAATGTTAAAAAAATTTTTATACAGTTTAGACTTAACCAAAAAGGATTGATGATTAACGATAAGTACGTAGAATATGAACAATTCAAATGTCCAATATGTAAGAAAAAACTATCGAAATTACATTTATTATATGTAAGTGTGGAGAATAAAGAACATGAACTAAAAACTAATAAAGAACAAAATAATAATTGTAAGGAAGAAAAAGAAATGTATAGAAAGTTGGATAAAGCCAGTATTAGCAAAATATATAGATACTATAATAATGTTAGAAAAAGTTTTAAAAATATGATTATTAAATAATATAAATTAAGAGAAAAGAAATTGTAAAGCTAATACCCCCTGCAACAGGCTATAGCCTTATATGCAAATAAAACTTTGATTGATTATTGATAAATAAGTTTTTATTAAAATGTATTAATTAATAAATAATTAATATATAATGTTTCAATTCAAAACAAAAACATTTTACAGACAAGTTACAAAAATAAAAATATTTTAATTTAAAAGAAGAAATTTAATTTAATTTAATATGCTTTAAAATATAATTATAAAATAGTGTAAATCTTTCTTCTACAATCATTACAAAGTTAAAAATAAAAATTTAATGTCATTCAAAGATGTTGACATCAGCAAAAATTTTTCAAAAGAATACAATCAGAGTAACAGAAGGAGAATATAATGGATATGTATGCTTTTTCTCATTTAATATCACATTCTTTGCTTTCTTATAAATTCTTGGTAGATTTTGAAATTAATATTTGTAATTTTTGTTAAGTTAATAAACATTGTAAATAAAATAATAAAAACTCTTAAACAGTTTTAGAAGTTTTGAATTTAAAAATATTTAAATAATTGCTTAATATTTTAACTTTTTGATTTCAGTTTTTATTTTATAAATTTAAAAATTAACTAGTATTCAATTTTTTAATGTGCAATTGTAAGTTTAAACTATATTTTTTACACATATTGTAATATTAAGTATTAGATACATTCATACTCAATGTTTTTCTTTGTAGAATTTATTTAATTTTAACTTTGATTAAAATTTATTTAATGTTATATTTATAAGCTAAATATAAATAAAATAATTATATCAAGTAAATTTTGTGCAAAATAATTAACTCAAAAAAAAATTTGTAGAATAAAAAAGAATATTATATTCAATTACAGAATATCTAAACAATATTTTTTGGGATCCAATAACTTCAAAAAACTTCAGAAACAAAATGGGCCTGTGTAAAAAATTTCTAACACCAAATTCAATAATGATCTTACTAATCTTAATCAGTTGTAGAAGAATTACTAAAATAATGTCAAACATGAAGAAGCAACTTATTTTAGAATTAGAAAAGCTATCAACTTTTATTATCTCTAACAAACATACTTCATTCTATTTTTTATAATTTGAATTTTTCTAGTATTTTTGATGATCTGTTTGATTCTAAAAATATATATCAAGAATATAAATTGATAAAAATATTATAGTTACTAATCCAGTTTTCTATAATGTCACAAGTTCAGAAGAAACACTAAACAAAAACAAATCTCTTCACAATTTGTCCTTTTCTCCACACCTCAAGATCAAATAAAATAGTCTAAAGAGAACCACAACAGAGTTTATCTTTATTCTTAGGTTCTCATCCACTCTAATATTCAGAACAAGTTATATCAAGATCACTGGGATAATCACTATTTTATTAAAAAGATGTATTTCCATTTCAGATTTACATTTCTTCAAAAACTGTTAGATTCTAAACAGGATTTTGATGTATGTAACATAGTCCAATATTGCTTAACTTACATTACAATACATTAATTTTTTTATATGTCTATTGTAATAAAAGAAAATGTACATTTTATCAGTACTAGTTCACATTCGAGAACCTTAGGAGTCTAGTAACAACAACACTTTAATGGATAACTAATGTTTTTGACTGTACCCTGGTATTCCTCAAGTTTTTAACCAGTAAGATTCAAACTTGGAATGCAAAGAACAATATTTACAAATTATTTTTATAAAACCTATGAAATGTGTAGAACATGTTCAAAACTTATTTTAAAATCTATGGAACAATCTAAGTGCGTGTAGACAACTTTTATCCATATATGTTACCATGGCAATAGATATATATCTATACCATAAACAGTGAATAATACAATATAAATAATGGTATAGAAAAAGGTTGCTAATTGCTAGTGTTGCCCATTTTTTTATAACAGTACTTCCATGCATAGGAAACCTTAATGGCATCATTTGTGTTAATACATTTGCCATGCAAGCTGGCTTTGTAAATTACAGGAGCACAGATAAAGGGATTTAGTATACATCAAGTCCACAAAGCACTCTATAAGCAAAAGATTACAGAAGCACAGATATGATATCACTAACAAAAGGCATACCACCGCCCTATGCACCTATGCCACAGACCCTGATATATGGGCCGACCTCCATAAAGCCAAACTGGTCAGATTGTCTCATCAAAATGAACATCTTCAGAACCTTGAGGCATTAGAAATTTATATATATAATAAGAAAGAACTTAAACAGTTTAAGTAGTATATTGTCTATCTGCTACACAGAATATATTTGCAATGTTTACACAAAAGTGCAATTTTGATTTCTCTTTAAGCTTGTATCATCCAGATCTGAGCCCCTATAAACTCTTTGAAATGAATATTTGAAGCAATCCAGAGAGGATTAAAGTTAGATAAAAATTAGTAATGCCTGTACACCTTGTAGAGTACTTGCAAAGAATCCAGAGGACCATATATCCTATAAGAACACATGGGAATATTTTTACTCTAATATTATATAATTTTTCTTAATATACTACTATGATCAAAAAGTATCAGGAATGGTTCATTTAAACTGTACGCATGCAAGAGGGCACTGTCGTTTTATTTCTTTGTTTATGACTTTCATCAACATTTATCAGCAATCCATACATTATTGTCTATTTTTGTTTGCAAGTAAACACTTGTTTTGTATGTAAAGAATTTTTGCGTCAGCAATTTTTCAAAATGTCCAGTGTAACTGAGTAAATAACCTGCATTAAATTTTGTTTTTTTAATGGAATTATTGCTACAGAAACATTGGAAATGTTGCAAAATCTTTGGTGACGATAGTCTATCAAAAACAAGAGTTTTTGAGTGGCACAAGATGTTCAAGGAAAGCAGAGAACATGTTGAAGGTGAAGAATGCTCTCATATATCATCCACTTCAACTGATGAACAACACATTGCCCGAGTCAGAAATTTGGTGCTCAATGATTGTCATTTATCAATTAGGGACATTATTGAACATGTTCCAGTATCATTTGGATCTTGTCAAGCAATTTTAAAAGATTATTTGGACTTGTGGCATGACATTTCTGAAATCATCCCAAAAACATTGAATTTTTTCCAAAAATAACATTTTCAAGTGGCAAGGAAATGCTTTATCAAGGTAAATTGTTCTTAACCACTCAACAGTGAAGGACAGATATATCCATCCAGGGCAATCATGTGGCAGTGGTGAAGAATGGATATATCTGTTAAATTCTTTTTGGGGTATCGCCAAAAACTACCACGAAAAAAATCCATGTAAAAAATGAATTATGTAACAATAAAAAAAGACTTTTCTTTACTAGACATAACTGTTTACAAAATCTTTTTCCGAAACGGTAATGAGAAAAAACACATGGGCAAATACTTTAAAAATTTCCCATATTTATTCTCCACTACTTTGGGGTAGCACCATACCTGACTATCCCACTTTTGAAAGGTTAAAACACATCATTACAGGTGATGAAACATAGATATACACTTTTGACATCAAAATAGTCCAATAATCAAGTAAATGGTGTTCAAAAGATGAAGCAAGACTGAAAAGACTACATCAGAATTGAAGAAAACAGTCATCATAATCTTGACAGTTTTCTTCAATTGTCATGGTGTTATGCATCACAAATTCCTTCTAACTGACCAAACTCTCAACAAAGAACATTATTTGAGCATTTTACATCATTTGTGTGAAGCAATTCATAGAAAACAACCTGATTTGAGGAAAGAAAACTCATGGATTTTGCACCATGACAATGATCTTGTTCATGAATTTTTGGTCACAAATAAGAGCATTGTGAGCAGATGTGGCACTATGATTTTTTCTTGTTTCCTCAACTAAAATTTCCACTTCATGATCACCATTTTGAGTCGATTGATGCCATAAAACAAAATTCACTGCATGTCTTGAAAGGGTTTCACAAAAACAACTTTAAAGAATGTTTAAGAATTGAAAAAAAAACAAAACAAAAAAATTGGCCTAAGTTCAATGCAGTGGGAGGGGATTATTTTGAAACAAATAAATTTTTATGAATAAATTCAAATCTTATGTTTTATTGAACCATTCCTGACACTTTTTGATAACAGAGCTATATAAATTTTTACAACTTCAGTTGAATCTAAACATTTTTCATGTTTTTCTTATATTTGTTGATGTTTCTAAAATATATTATTATTGGAAAAATGTAGCTTGATACTTTTGTCATTTTCCTATTTGTTTTCTTTAATGCTTCTAAAGAAAAAATTTCAGTACTAGTATTTCTGCAAAGAACATTTTATCATTCTGTCTTTATAACAATTTATTAATAGATCATACTGAATGAATATGGAGGAGTTCAAAGACACTGAAATTTAAAATCTAATTGTGAGCTTATATCTGAATTTATTAAATATGTTAATTATCTCTAAAATCAAGAACAATTATCAAATTAATAGATGATAATTATTTTGTGAAAAATTTTATATGCATTATTTTTTAACACATACAGAACATACTAATACCAGCCAATTATTTTTAACAATTCTAAACCCTTTAATTCTAAGTATATCTTTAAATATTTGTATATAAAATGAAATATTTTAAATAAAAATTGATATAAAGTCATTAAAACATAATTCTTACCCATTGTTATCAATATCTAAAGATGTAAGAGAATATCCAAATGAAGATGCAAATTGTTCACCATCTAAAATTAACTCAACCTTAAATAATGAGCTTCCTTTCTGTTTTTTGAAAAACACAACTTGGCCTGTTCCTTTAGAACGTGGAGCTCCACTTACAAATGATGTAACTTCCCCAAAAAATTTGCCAGATGTCACTGACATACCTAAAATAATTAATAAAAGTACAAGAGAAATAAATATAACATAACAAGGTAACAAATGTCTAAATTTTAGTTCTAATTGTAAAATACAAGTATATAGGGTATCCCTCACTGACCCCAAAAGAGTTCTGTCGATGTTTATTTTTTTTACAAGTGAAGCACTATGCTAGTATGAAGGAACAAATTTAAGTTATTCTGATGATAAGAACCCTCAGTCAGCATGAAGCATAATTTAAAATGCTATATCAAGACCATTGTGACTGGTGGGAAGTCTGGATACAGCCTGTTTTCTATCTAATAGCTGTATTCTTAATAAAAGATTTTATGGTAAAATTTAAATTAAATTATTGTTTACATGTAACTTTTAAACCTAAAATTCAAAAATGAAATAACTCAAAATTTCAACACCTTTTTTTTGTAATGTCCCAGCATTTATTTCCTCACATTAAAACCCTTTTAGCCTCACTTTATGAGCCATCTTCTTAAAAATTAAACATTCTATTGGATTGACATATTCCAATTTGAATATAGCAGTTCAAATTAAAAAACAAACTAACCACTGAAGGTAGTGTGACCAAAAAAATTATCTTTTTCACCAGAAACAAATGAAAATCTGCAAAAAAAAAATCTTATGATGAATAACTAAAACTTTCATAAAATTCGAGAACTTATTTTTACAGATGAAACAAACTTGTAGAAATAACTAAACAACATTAACACCACCAATAGTTTTAAAGCTATTTGTTAATTTAATTTTGAAGGCTTTGTTCTTATTGTTTTATCTCTCTCTTCTAACTGTATTGTAGATTGCCTTCCAAGCTGATGATAACCCCTCTGCATCTTTAAGGTTGATGCTTCATCCTTTATTAGTTGCTTTAAATATTTCTAACACCTCAAGAATTCTAATGTATTTATTTTTAATGTGGCTGATTGAGATGAAACATACCAACTTTAGAGTTGATATGTTTCACCTCTCTAAAATTGGTATATTTCATCTCTATCAGCCATAATCACAACTGATGATCAAGAGTTAGAGTTGAAGTTAACCAATAAGCTTTCACATACTAAAAGTAAAGTGGATGGTAATTAGTTAACTTCTAACTCTAACTATTGATCCTTGATTGTGAATATGATCATATGTCATCTAAATGTGCTTCAACTCCTGACTCTGTTGCAAAAATGGCTGGTGCAGTCATTGGTTTCTTTTTCTCAAAAGTATATTTGTGTTTTTCTCAATCTGTGCTAACGACAATCTGTTTTTCCCAATGCTAACAACCTACATGCAAACACTAAATATTCTACTTTCTTCCAAATTCTGTGGGAGTGTCTAAATATTTCAATAAGAAAAAACAGAAATTACATTCATTTATTATAGAATTGTGAATGAAGATGGTAACATACGTAATCAATTATTTTATTACTACTTAATAACTTTTTCTAGGATGAATTTAATTTAAATCATAATAATTATTAATNTTTGAATTTCTTTATCCTAGATATTTTCAAAATAATTCATAAAACTGCTATTTGTTGTATCCATCCAGATAAAATCAAAGGAAATATAAGTCTAAAAATCTTGGAAAATACAACTTTACTTTCATAAAACATCTAAAACTGTCTCTAACCTTACTCAAGAAGTTAAATAATTTTTCATAATGTTTAAGAGAAACTCCATCTTCATTGATTGTAACACTATATATTGTTTCTTGGCTTCTACATAATCTTGATAATTTGGGAAATATGACTTCATGTTCCAAAATGTTGTCTTTAATGTCTTTAAAATGTTATGATAAATAAAATATTTGAATCTTTGAATGAAGTTTGATACAGTTTTATATGTTTAAGCTCAAAAAATGTTTTACAGTTATCTGAAATAAAATTTCTATTAAATATTATAATTGTTTTTATAGTAAATAAATAATAAAATGATAGCACAATTATCTAAAGTTTATATTTTAATTTATGCAAAAAAAGAGAGGAAAGCTTTATGTTGTTTTTGTGGACTTTCAATCTGCTTTTGACACTGTTAATCATAAACTTTTATGGGCTCTACTAGAAAGAATGGTATAAATAAACAGTTTCTTGGCCTTATTATATATATTGATATACAGTAGAGCATCAATTATCTGACTCAATTGGGGACTCAGGTTGGTCAGATAACTGAAAAAAATCAGATAACCGAAAAGAATGAAAAAAATACATTATTAGTATAGTATATTAGTATATCCCACGTAATTAGTATATTAGTATATTGCTATTAACCAAGTTCGCATTGAATTTTCATTGATGGTAAGCCTAACAAAAATTTTTTAAAAATAATAATCGTCGCTATTGTATTGTTAAAAATTATTTTTAAATTACTTTATTGCTCACAAAACAAACAACCACTCATAATTATAAAATTAAGTTTTGTTTAAATACTGGCCTCCCTTCAATGGTCAAGCCATGTTGCCAACTAAAACATGCAAAATTTAACAAAAATAATATTAAAGTAGCCAAGACATAGCCAAATATTGTAGTGCACCTCACTAGTGGACANATGACTATTTGTATATTTCATAAACTATAAGAGAATAGAACTGAATGATATATTAATCAAAGGTATAATGCTAGGTGGTATATTAAACAGATGACAATCATACACTTAAAACCATAACAAAATTATAGTATACATATATATGTTTTATTCCCTTATATACAAAAGTGATACAAAAACAGCTTAAAAATAGGCTTGATTTTAAAAAATTGCAAATTAAACAAATTTAAAAAATATATATGTTAACTAAAATTAATTCAGTCCACAGCTAGGAATAAATAATTGGAGGTATAAGAACAAGCTAAAATATTCTGACAGGTACTTTTCTTTTTACCAGCAAGCACTGTGCCTATTAGATTTAGTCCAAGTGTAAAAAATGTAACGGTAGCATAAGTTTACATGATGAAAGCAAAAGCAATATAATATACATATTGCATAAAGGCCTACCAATTAAGTTGAGGGAGCTTAGCCACCTCATAGCCCCTACATCTATGGCCCTGAACTAATTTAATTATTATAAATATTAAAATTTTATAAAATAAAATAAAATCAACAAACTGTCAACATTGTATTATCAATTTTTTGTAACATTTATATGCCAACTGTTCTAATTATTTAAAAAAACTGTCATTTCAATAGCTAATTGCACTAAGAAATACAAGGTCAGTAATACATCTTTTGCATGTCAAGGACATCAAATATCAGAAGCATTAATAAAATTAAAATCACTATAACATTCTTGTTTAACAAAGAAAAACTAATATAAAAAAAAATTCTAAAAAATTGTAATAATTTTGTTTCTTTTTTTATATTGATATCATAGTTTATTTTATTTTGAATCTCTTTTCTAAAATATTAGAATTTTTTTATATTACACATCTACATTTATCAATACAGAAAGTCTTAAAATGTATTTATGTAGTAACTAAATAAGAAATAAATTAATAAACTTCAGAAATAATTATTCAGCTCTTATTAACATATTTTATATTTACTGATGAAATTATAATAAATTTTTATCTACATCAATAATGTAACCAATAAGGATAATACAGTAGAACATCGATTATCCGACTCAATTGGGGACTGGGGTTGGTTGGATAATTGAAAAGTCGGATAACCAAAATGTATGAAAAAATTCATTATTAGTGTAGTATATTATTATATCCCATGTATTAGTATATTAGTATATCACTATTAACCTACTTTGCGTTGAATTTTCCTCCATGTTAAGCCTAACAAAACTTTTTTAAAATAATAATTGTCGCTATTGTATTGTTAAAAATTAGAAAATTAAGCCTCATTTAAATACTGGCTCCCTTTCATGGTCGATCCAGTGTTGCCAGCTAAAACACGTAAAAATAATATTAAAGTAGGCAAGACATAGCCAAATATTGTAGCGCCACATCACTAGCAGACATTTGAATTTGCTGACTAGAACACGGTCGGTTAACTGAGGTGACGGTTAATCGGGGGTCGGATAATCGATGCTCTACTGTAAAATAAAATTTTTTAAAATGTTGTTACATTTACCAAGATAACTGTATTTATCAACTGGTGCAGCTTCATCAGATAATGGTCCCATATACCAGGTTTTATCATCCCGCATTCGAAATCTCACACTATTAGTAAAGACTGTTCCTCTCCAAGTGTATGGACCAGGTGAACCAATAATTATGTTATTGTCCTGTTTAAAAAAGAATTAATACAAAGAAACTTTGTTTTATGACTTAATGAATCAGTTTTTTGTAAAAAAATAATATAAATCAGAATAATTTATTATAAAAAAAGTATATATAACAGAAACAAGAGTATGTAATTATTAAATAATTTAGAATATTCATGGAAGAAATTCTAAATTATTTAATTTAAGTAATCATTTTTTTTAAATATTTTTGTTAATTTATTAAAATTTAAATGAAGAAAACAGCTGCAACTTTAAATCATCTTGATAGCTAAAGATGAGTTCAGTAAATGATTGCATTAGTGCAGGTGTGGATCCTTAGTAAAAGAAGTGTTTCAATATGTAGCAGTTCAGATAAAAACCAGTTGCTTCCAGTGCAGGTACTAAGTACACTGTACTTAGAATCAGTTTTCCATCAGTGCAACAATATGGCTGCTCCCATGTGCCACTGTATTCATTATGAAGAGTACAAATTTTCTTATTTTTGGATAAAAATTTATCTTAGACAATTGAAAACAGTATAAATGTTATATAAATAATATTGTATAATATTCCTTTTTGAAATTCACCTGAACAATAAGGAAAATTTCTATTTGAAACTTCAATTTAATAATAAAATTCACAAAACTGAAACAAATATAGGCAAACTCTGACACACATCTAGGCAATATTACAATTTAAATAAAAATAATTTAATTCCATACATATAATATTAAATATATTTCTAAAACTGAAAACATGAAATTTGTAATTTGAAATTATTATAAATATAAGTATATATGAATTTGAAAATATTGATAGTGTATAAATATATACAAAGTATAAAATATTTAATACTTTCATATATTTTTAACAATTTTTTAAAATATATTTATTATAGAAATCTTAAATCTACATAAATATGTAAATTTGTGATTATAAATGCATGAAATTCATTATAGTATACTGAAAATTTTAATTAAATTCATTAAAATATTGTTAAATACAGTAATAATATGAAATTAAAAATGTACATTTTAATTAAGATATAAAAATTGTATGATTTTAACAAAATATTTTGATCAAATTCATTTTATATTTTAAAGTATTTTATAAAATGGTCTAAAATGAAATTTCCCAAACATTTTCATAGGGTAATTATTATATCAACTTAAGTAAGTTAGAATTTTAAATTTAATTTCAGAACTTTTTTAATAAGTTCACTTGCTAGATTAAAAAGACTGATGGAGCAAAATTTTATATTCATTTACAGGTATCCCTTAATTAACACAGTTAATTAATCCCTTGATGCTACTGTATACATCAAATATCTATGTTATATACAATATCTATGTTACATACAATATCTATGTTAAGTAAAGACAACTGATAAAGCCATGTTAATTAAAACTTCTGCTATGTATATAAGGAATTGTCACAATTAAATTTGCACATTAATCAAATCCTGCATTAAGCAAAACTGTTAAGGGATACCTGCAAAATTTTGCTCCATCAATTTTTCTAATCTGATAAATTAAACTTGGAATGAAAGCTCTCAAAACTGTTTCTTATTACTATAACAAATTAGATTGGAAAAGAATTGAGTGCAATGAACTCAAGTTTTTATTAAGGAAGGAAACTTCTTACAAAATAAACACAAATTTTAAAATTTCAGTTTAACTAAACAGTGTAGCATTATATTATTTTCTAACAAAATCTTTTTCAATAGTTTGACAAATCCATATCATCTGGCATTCTGTCAATCTTATCAACAGGCTGTCATCTCTGCAAAATGATATTTTCACTATTTAAATTGTAAAGTATAAAGAAGTAAATATTTAAATTTTTTATATTTTCAAAAATGAAATCTAAACTTCTTTTTTTAAATTAAAACAAATTTTTTTTCCATTTGCATCCATCTTCAGGAACACTATAAAAATCATAGAATACCATTACAACAGTAAAATATTACAACTATGTTACTATAGTAACAGCATTCTATGATCCTTTATGATTTTAAATTAAACTAAAATTTAATTATTTTATTTTCAATTTAGAAATGTAAGTTTATAGAAATGTTAAGGATGTATTGATGTTTATAAATTAATGTCGGTTATTTTGAAGGAAATTTGATTTATTTTCTCATTCTGTCCTATTTTTATTTTTTTCCCTACATTTTATTTAGTCTATTAAGTTATTTTTCTTTAAATGAAATAAATTCTAGAAACTAAAAATATTTTTAAAAAATTAAGATAGATCTAAAACACTACAATGTAGCTGATAATAGCTATCCTATCATAGCTGTATCTATTTAGCTATCCTATTTCTAATTTTAATGTACTGTAGTTTTTAGATGAGCTATAATTTAGGACTTTTTTACTTAATATTACAGGTCTTCTTTTTTTATGTTTTGTTCTTAGAAGCTTCATCAGAATTTTGAAAGAAGAATAAAGAATTAAAAATTTGAACCAATAAGGAAAATTCAAAAGAACTAAAGTTTTATGTAACCATTCAAGTAACTCTATATGTTTAATGTACAGGAATAGTAAATATACAAACAAATTTAACCAATTATCTATTGAAATCCTATCTTGTATAAGGTCATTTTCTATCAGATTTCAGATTAGATGTTTGTTTACAAAAACTTTTAGAATTCAGAAAAGATTCTATTTAGAAATACTAGCATTATTTAATATTTAAAAATGTTCTGAAAAAGTTAGTTTTTTCTAAAATTTCAAAAAAATATAATAACTTAATTTCATAGAAATTTTCACAACACATTAAACATTTATTTGTACCAATTCCTTATTTAACTACTAAAACAAAACTTGAAAATTTTATTTTATAAATTAGATGGAAACAAAATGTTAATAGCTTTTTTAAAAATATACAATTATTAATATTTACACAAATTGCTATTTATAATAAATTTGCATAAATAAAAATATTTCAGTTAATTTTTTAAAATTTTGTAACATAGTAACAAAATAAATATGCTTATGTAAGTTTTCCATTTCAATTGAAAGCACCAAACGTACTTGAACATAAGTGGATATATTCTTTAGATGATTCGTTTATTTTAGCAAGAATTAATGTTAAAAAATTTAACTTTATTTTGTTAATTAAATATCAATTATTATTTTATTTTAAGATAAAAGTTTTAACAAAAATTAAGCATTTGCAGGATTATAAGAGACTAAGTATTTAAAGATGAAATTTTTTTGACATGAAAGCCAAGATGAAAAGTCTCAAAAATTATTTTATCTTTAAATACTTAGACACTAAAATCCTGCAAGTGCTTAATTTTTGTTCAATATATGTAATATAGATTTATATATACCAATGCATTTCTTAATGAGAAAATTTTTAATGCAATTTTTATGCTTGAACTTGAAAGTACCATATAGTTATCATTCCTGGGTTTATAATATTTTTAATTATGTTTTTTATGTTTGATAGTAATATCAGTGTACAAGATTTAACAGAAAAAATATTTCACTAATTTAAATAAAAAAAACAAAATTTAAGTTAAAAAATTCTACATTTAATAAAACCTTTATACTGTCACTACTGTTTTTAATTAAAATAATCAAGTAAAAACATTCTAAAATCATACAAGTAAGATGTTCACTTGCACAAAATTTTACATTGTGTATTTTTCACCATATAAAATATGAATTACAGTAAGACCCCACTTAATGCTGCCTCGCTTAACGCTGATATGATATAACGCTGTCTGCTTGAAGCCTAAAAAAAAGCTCAAAATTTACGCTGATTTAAATTATGCAGCATTTTATTGATTTGTACATAATACAATTATTTAGGAACAAGAACCAGTTAGCAAAAGGTGACAAAAAGGTGGAAAAAAGGTGTACTTTCGTTAAATCTATGTTTCTTTGGTGCAACTTTGGAAAAAAATATAACATCATGGATGCCGTACGCAATATCAACTTCGCTTGGCAAGAATTAACTTGTGGAGTGTGGAACGAAGTGTGGAAGAAATTATGGCTGAAGGTATCCAAGAATTTTCAATGAGAAGAGCCTATCGCTGTATCATTAGGTTGATCAAATTGTCAACCTAATCAATACAGCAGGACTAGGAGATGTAGACGAACAGAATATTGAGGAGTTATCGCAGGTTTCTGGTGAGTCTTATCAACGACGACCTTCAAGAACTGGCAGAACAAGGAATCCATGTAGAACCGGAAAATAGTGATTCTGAAAACAAAGAATCTAAAAAATTTCTCTACAGATTTCCTTAGTAAAAGTTTGGTAATGATAACTAAAATTGTTGATCAAATTGTAGCGAATGATCTAGATTTTGAAATGAGTGCAAAAGCAAAACGAGGCATTTTGGATGCAATCTTCTGCTACTGACATTTGCTTAAGGAAAGAAAAAAGCAACAAATGAAACTTCATGACTTTATTGCAAAAAAAAAAAAAAAAACAAGAATTTCAGGAAAGTCAGGACCTTTGTCACAAAAAATGAACTATTAATATAGAAAAAATAAAGTAATTAATATATTATTATACATTTCTGTGTGCATATGTTTATGTGTTATTTAACATATATTATACAAATTAATATAAAAATAACTTAAAATTAAAGTTAAAATTTTTAATTTTTGGTTGTGTGTTCCCCTATCCCTATTTACTCTATGTTAAAATGACCTAGTTTAATGCTGTTTCGTTTAGCGCTTTGTTGTCTAGGAATGCATCCTCCCACGTTAAGCAGGGTCTTACTGTATTTTTATTAATCATGAATAATTAATCAAGCAAGACATTAAAAAACATATTATTTTAATGAATTAGTTATGAAAAAAAGTGTAATAATATCAATAAAGAAATTAAATGTAAAACAAAATAGATTTTATTAATTTGTAATCAAATAGAAGGTTATAACATAAAGTGTGAATGGAAATATGGAAATTGAATAAGAATTTTTTGGAAATTGGTGGAGCAATATAAAGATTTATCTCATCTCTAACAGAAATAATACAATTATGGCATAATCCTTATAACAAAAAAAAAAAAATATTTAAAATAAAAATGATTAGTGACTCAGAAGCAGATAATTAAAAATTTCCATGCAATACAATGAAAAATTAAACAAATGCTTTCTTGAAATTTGCTGGCAAACAATTCAAAAAGAAATAATTGTAAACAATAAACTTTTTTTTACTGTTAAATATATATTTTATCACTTTTAAGGTATTTATATATAATAAGTTTAAGAAATTATATTCATAGTTCACTTAGTTTGATATTTGAAACTAAATTAATTTCAAATCATAAATTCAAAAGTTCAATTGTCTGCAATTAAGTACAGACTATAAACATAAATCTATACTTTTATAAAGTTTTTCAATAATTAAAAATTAATTATTGAAAATATTATTTGTTCAATTTGAGGAACTATTTACACTAACTTTTAAATAGTACTGTACATATAGAAGAAAACAGCATATAAGTTACTATTATTACTATTATATTGTTTATACTCTTGTTTAAGTCCATGCAATAATTGTTGTGTTTATTCTGTACATTTTTTCTTTTTCCTTGCATTTTGTGAAGAATTTTGTTTTATGAAAATGGCTAGCAAAGGAGTTGGACAGGAAAATGTTATATTGCAAGATTTGAATGAAGCATAAAAGATTAGATAAATCTATCCATTATAAGAAAAGAAACAGATTAAAACAGTCTTCAAACACTATAATACAAATGGCAGAATGAAACAAATACAAGAAACATTAAATTTGTTTATAAAATACCAGGTGATTGTAACTAAGGTACTCCTATTCAATGTTAATAAACTCATAAAAACTTTAAAAATAAAAATTTGACTATTAAAATTGTTTTATACATGTTAAATGTACCAAATGATCATTTCATCAGTTTTTATTCAATCTGTGCCAATATCTTGAATATATTCATAACTGTACAAATATACTGATATTTGTATGTCATCTTTTATTGTCTGATAAATTTTTAAGATTTTACTATTCATTAAAAAACCTTAATTATAAATTTATATGAATAAATAACTATGTTTAACTTAAATAACTGTTTTTGAAGTGAAAACTATTATCATAACAGAGAATACTTCCATACTTGGCACCATATTAAATAAATAAATAAATAAATATTTTCAGGAACCAAAACTATTTTCTGCTGAAGATGTTCTTATAAAAGAATAAAAACGTTTCTTATTAAAAAACAATTTGTTTGGTTCCTGAAAATAGCATTTATTTATTTATTATCATAACAACATATGACTATTTTTCAATTTATGTAAGTTTTATTTTTGTAAATGTTGATCTCCTGATGATGGTTTAGGAGATTAAAAAATATTATGGAAATGATGTTTATTTCCTCTTTAACTCCAATAAAACAGTTTTTTTATATTGTTTGAAATTTGAAGTATGTTCCACTTAATGATGTTAATTATTTAACAATTTCAATACTCTAATCAAATTAACGTATTAGTAGATGTAATTTATTTGTAATAGAATAGTATAATTCTTGTTACAGATATTTAATAAACTTATAATATAATTACATTTAATTATAAAATAAATTTCTTAGCGAAAATGTCTGAAAAAAAATCTATGATAGCTTAGTTTTTAAATTATACAGTTATATCTAATTGGGATTTTTGGTAAATTGTCTTCAAAACTGTATGCTTAAAAGAACACAGTCAGCATTCATCATAATTTTAAATTATATTAATAAACCAAATAAAAATATGTTATTTGAATTTTTTATATGACATGTTCCAATAAAAATTAATTTTTTAATAAAATTTATAATTATTTTATAATTTCTTTTGTAAAATTACTTTTTTATAATTTAATAACATTAATATCATTGGTAAAAATTTAAAGTTATGACCAGATTTCTGGTTAATTTTTGATTTGTGAAAGTTAAACAATTGTCAGAGTAATATAATTGAAGTGTTTATTCAATAATTATGAGATTCAATTCCTATCAATGTAATTCTTTTGTAAAAAGAATTATACTTCAGATAAAGAATAAATAATTGAAAATCATTCTGTTATTTACAACTTATGTCTTCATCATTTATATTACTTGATCGTTAAATTGTAGAATATAACTTGAAAGGTTAATGTTATACTGTGTGTGCATCAACATCAGCTTTGCTGGTTTGATATTTCTCAAATGGAAGTGAAATATTTGCCATGTGTTGCTGAATGGAAGAATGGATAGAAGATGAGAGAGAGAGGCAAAATATGCATAAATTAACAGTTAATTTTATTCCAATTTTTTTAATATAAATCAAGAATACAATATTATATATTATATTTCTTCATATTGCATTACTCAATTTTAAATTCTATGAATTCATTATATAAAAGTATATCAGGAAAACAAAATAAATATGAAATATAATACATCATTTTATATTTTACTTTATTTAGTAATATTTCAATTATCTTTGTACTAATCTAATAATTCATATTGATGGTTGTGACCAAAGTAAAAATATTAAATTAATATAACAAAACACATGTATGCATACATAACGGTAATATAAAATATATTCTATTTGAATTTTATATCACTATTAGTGTATTTTTATTTTTCAATCAATTTAAATACGAAAATATATTTTCTGTTGCATAATATGCATGTTATGTTCTTATGAAATATAGCTGTTTGATATTTATTAATTCAACAAAGAAAGTTTGTATAGCATACCAAATAAATGTTACAGTAATTTTGAAGGCCAGTAATTCCATATATATGAAATTAATGTACTTTGAAATGCTCATAAACATGATATAATAAATTTAAAATGCTTGTGTGTGTGTATGTATATATATATATATATAAACATTTTAAATCTATTAAACAAGTTTTAAATTACTGTAGTTTATTCTTNGTAATATTTCAATTATCTTTGTACTAATCTAATAATTCATATTGATGGTTGTGACCAAAGTAAAAATATTAAATTAATATAACAAAACACATGTATGCATACATAACGGTAATATAAAATATATTCTATTTGAATTTTATATCACTATTAGTGTATTTTTATTTTTCAATCAATTTAAATACGAAAATATATTTTCTGTTGCATAATATGCATGTTATGTTCTTATGAAATATAGCTGTTTGATATTTATTAATTCAACAAAGAAAGTTTGTATAGCATACCAAATAAATGTTACAGTAATTTTGAAGGCCAGTAATTCCATATATATGAAATTAATGTACTTTGAAATGCTCATAAACATGATATAATAAATTTAAAATGCTTGTGTGTGTGTGTGTATATATATATAAACATTTTAAATCTATTAAACAAGTTTTAAATTACTGTAGTTTATTCTTTACATAATACATTATTAGTGATTTATTACTGTTTACAATAGAAACTGAAAATATGTTATTTAGTTTTCTAAATTTAAAAAGTATTTCCGGATTAATCTTTATTACTGATTTTCCACTTAATTGATGTAAATATTTAATAATATAAAATAAAACAAAGACAAGCAAATATTGCATAACAACAACATTTTATGTCATTCAAATGTCCAAATAGTGTAACTATATTTTTTTGTTTAATCAATTAAAAATAATTATTACTTACTAAATACTATCAATTTATCTGTTATAATTAAACCAACAGCTCATATATTTAAAAAGCTTTGCCTAAATAGATTAGACTGCATATGTGATGCAAGACATCAAACTTACAATATGACTATACATGGTTAGCCTAAATTTTACTTTTTACAGACATGTCTGAACTACTATAGGCTCAGCTAGGAAAGAAAATGTATTCTAGCTTGTATTATTCATAAAAAATCACAATAGTTCAATTGAATATAGATCCTTGCAGAATAGTCATCCATTCTACATTTTGAATAAATGAATGCTAATTAAAATTTAATCAAATAGTAATGATTTTCATAAAAATGATCATATGAATTATTTATCTAACTTAAAAATAAATTGAGTTAGTTATTATTAAATAATTTTAACAGTATGCTTGATTATCATTTTGTCATTTATAAAAAGGTGTGTGTGATGATGTTTTATATTTTATCACCAAAAATTACTAACCTCAGATATATCTCCACTAGTACCAGCTTGACAGTAACCAAATTGTTCATGTGCTTTTGCTACAGGTCGATTTAAACAAGGTTCCCATGGCTGATGAATATCTAGAAAAGGTGTAAGAGAATAACATATACCTAACCCCCACTGATAATCAACACCTCTGGATACGTATCTATGAGCACAAGCCTGAAAATAAAGAAATGAGTTTTATTTCAAAACATATGACTGATTTAAACAATATTTTATCAAAATTATGAAAACACATACTGTATTTTTAAAACTGTTTTCAGACTGCATATATCTTACCATAACATGTTTTCCTGGACCTTGACTTTTAACAGTAACACCCAACCACTGATCATCTTTAATTGTTGAGTTATCAGGAGCTAAAAACAGAAAGCAATATGAATTTATTGTAATTGACAAAGCAAAGATTATGACAAAAATATAAACATTTATTTATTCATTAATAAATATGGCTAATTGCCAAGCACTTTTGACCTTGAAAGTAAAAAAAATATCCAAAACAAACAGTCAGATTTAAAATATATAAATGAATCTAATACTTATTTCTGTTATTTAATCAACCCTTTGATAACTTTTTAAAAGAGACCTAAAACTAACCAATGAAGTTACTTATGCAATTATTTATAATGCATGTGCAAAACTTTCCGTAATCAAAATAAAATGAACTTCTTTATATTTTTCATCAAACTATTAATATTAAGAAAGTGGGAAGAAAATATGTATACTTACGAGCATTTTGTTGATCTATTAGTATCTGATGGCAATCCTTTCTCCAAGTTGAAATAGGACATCTATATACAGCACCTGAACGATTTGTACCAGGTTGATTCGTCTGTGCTCTAGGTGCTCCTATTAATAATCTATAAAAAAAAAAATAATAATTTATTAAATAACAAGCATTAATCAAAATACTATATTACAATTACAAAATAAAGTATACTTTTGTTCAAATAATCTTAATTAACAATATTTAAAATCATATTATTTTAGAAATGTCAAAATCAATTTATTGTTATTACTTTTTAATTTTATCAAAAAATATCTCTGTAACAATAAATTTTAAGTTATTCTACTTTATTATTACACTTAAGACATACTGACAAAATAAATAAAAATAATAAATTAAAATCTAGAAAATTTGCTTTAATTTTCCAAATATGCTCTGTAAGCAAGCTATACTAAACAGTTCTTACAACTAAACATGCAACAGAAAGTGTCATCATCATCTCTTTTTAGTTACCTAAGGAGGCAGTTGTAAAAGAATCATGCTTCTATATATATTATCTTGCTTGTTATACACTTTAGTCATATCTATAATATACAGAGTAACCTTGAGCTCAAATAAGCAACTGATAGCGGTATTATCAAGACTGTAAAACTGAATATCTCCATTTAAACCAATTATTACTCAATTCAAATACAGATTAGGCTCCGTTTAACCGAACAATAACACTCGTCATTCGACCAAACAAATTATTATTCGGTTAAACAATTCAAACCAAGTCTTTATTACCGGAAATGCATACAACGAACTTAAACGAGAAAGTTCATGGCACAAATTTCATTCAAATTAATGTAAATGTTAACAACATTGGCGTAACACAAAAATATTTCATTTAAGACGAATTAAATGAATTATTTTTATCATCTTGTAAATAATTTAGATATTTATTGAATTATGGTAGCATTTTGACATTTTTACAGCTTTCTTTCCTGTTTTTTTTAGTCATTAAATGCCTTTCGAATTAACCACCAACAGTCGTTAATTTTAATCGCGCACAATGTGTGGCTAACACAGTCCACACAGCGGACAACAACGAGGCATAGATACAAATGAAGTATCGGTCTTTTAAATTAAAATAAACATGTAACTAGCCCACAGAATCATCTGAAGAGGTTGAGTAAAGCAACTGTTTTCAACAGATCTTAATTAATCAATGCAAGTTAAAGTGGTGTAACTTAACCTCTTTAACAATTTACTAACTGTTTCTAGGATTTTTCAATTATGTCAAGCACATAGCAACCCTCAATTCACAATTCTAATGCCTTTCTCAGAAGTAATAACTTATTAAAATATTTGCACTATAAATCTCTATAAACAAACAGTAATTTCGATAAATATGCTTTTGTCAATATTATTATACGGAATTCGTGAAAGATAACAAAGCATTCACACATAAACCGATACGAAAAACAGGCCAATAAATTATTTAAACTTTCGCCTTGTCACATGACTCGCATGTGGGGTTTTTTTTTTTTTACTTTATTTAAACGAGATTTAAATTTGTTGAATTGTTTCAACTTTTACGTTATATTGTTTCAAGGACAATTTTATAAAAATTGTTTAATAAAATGCGTCCAATAAAATCCCGACGTATAAGTTCTCTCGACTGAATTTTCCCTTACTCATACCAATATAATTATAGAATTTCCTGTTTCTCTTCACTCGAAGGAGATGAATGAGCAGATGTCTCTCGTCTGCTGGAGTTCGGAAATAATTATAATGGCTTTCTAATAAGATGTGTCGTAAAATTCATTTTTTATAGTCGTGTAAAATATCCCTAAATTTCCCTAACTTTGCATTTCCTTTTATTTATTATTTTTTTTTATTCGTTTAAAAATGATAAGTTTTCCTCGTTTCGTATTAAAATTGTATTTTATTTATTTTTTAGTAATAACTTTTAGTTGCATTTCTTATTTTATTTTAAATAATTTTTTTAAAAAAAAAAGAGCAAAATGTCTAGATCCATTCAAGGAGCAAAGGTTCTTGGTCCATCGGATTTTTAGTTTAATAAACATTCTATCCACGCAAAAGCTCCATAAACGTGAAATGTTTATTGATACCAATCGTAAATTATGTATCTGAAAGAAAAATATTTTTACTTCATCCTTATTTACCAATTTCTTTGAAGTGATCTTATTTAGGGAATATTTCCCAAATATTTAATTTAAACTATATGAAAAAAAATTATTTAATTATGAAAATATATAAAAGAAAATTTATTCTAAACTGTGCAACGTTTGCTTTTTTATTTTTTAGGGTATATATATATATATATACCCTAAAAAATAAAAAAGCAAACGTTGCACAGTTTAGAATAAATTTTCTTTTATATATTTTCATAATTAAATAATTTTTTTTCATATAGTTTAAATTAAATATTTGGGGAATATTCCCTAAATAAGATCACTTCAAAGAAATTGGTAAATAAGGATGAAGTAAAAATATTTTTCTTTCAGATACATAATTTACGATTGGTATCAATAAACATTTCACGTTTATGGAGCTTTTGCGTGGATAGAATGTTTATTAAACTAAAAATCCGATGGACCAAGAAACTTTGCTCCTTGAATGGATCTAGACATTTTGCTCTTTTTTTTTTAAAAAAATTATTTAAAATAAAATAAGAAATGCAACTAAAAGTTATTACTAAAAAATAAATAAAATACAATTTTAATANATTCTCTTAGACTATAATTTATTAATTAAATAAATAAATTGTTTCCTCTAGACATTTTGTTAAGGACATTTTTTATTATTATTCTGTTTACAGATTTTTAATGATTAAGTAGAATTCAAAACAAACATTTCACTTTCTCCTCTTCGCGATTGTTTAATAAAACTGTTTACTGTAATATCCCAGCGGATAGAAAATGAAATTGTTTAGGGTAATTTTCGTAACAAAACACTGTGAAATTTAAATTCCGCCAGACCAAATCGGGGTAAAAAACAACAGGAAATAATTTACGCCCTATTACAAAGCATCAACCTTCATTTCACGTATAGACATGACGTCACTGAGGGCAAAGGTGAAAAAACCGGTCAAGCGACACACACCTGTCATAGGAATATGTATATAGGACAATACTAAACCGCAACAGTTACCATATAAGGTACAGTAACTCGATCGCACCTGTCGTTATTATTTTTTCATCCCTCCTACTGCATATGTTTTCACTTCTAAAGAGCTGATACCAGAAGTTCACTAATTATATTAAACAAGGCGCATCTGTCTTGTTATTTTAAATGGCACAAAGTGGACAGTGACCTTTCTTTAATGTAAATTTCACTTATGAGGTTAGTGTCCCTGAATGTCACTCAACCAATTCTCGTTACTGAAGTGGCCGCACGGTACTCGAAATTTTAAATAAATTGCAGAAAGATCTACTTATTTAATCTGCGGATTTGATTTCATGACTCCCCTAAAATTCGCAGTTTATGAATTTATGATATTCTGGTTAATATAATATGTAGTATACAATGTATAATTCTTGTTACGATTTTATTTTTATTAAAATAAAAATCCAGTATAACGTAAACACATGTAACATACTTTTTAAAGTAACTTACACACGCACCATTTTGAAGTATCGGATTTCTATGCGTGACATAAGAGCAATTTGCTCTATTTATTAAACTTTTAGAGTTTAAAAAATAGGGTAACATCCTTTTCGATTTTTCTCTATTTCCTATCTTAGATAATATATCCCCCTTCTATAGGGTAATATCCCTTCGATTTTCCCCAATTTCCTATCTTAAATACTAATAATAAATTTATTACTTAGCTTTTTAGAAATCGTACGAAAAATATTACGGTATAAAGAAATGTGTTTAATGTAGTTTACAAGGCGCCATTTTGTAGTATTGAATTTCAATACACAACACGAGAGTAATTTACTCCATTTATCAAACTTCTGTGAATCTAAATGTTAAATCTCTTAAGGAGAAAATATCTCAACATTGTAGAGGTCATACAGAAATATTATTCAAAATATATTGCAAAAAAACCTTTCACTTGATTGTAACAGAATATTTCACTCTTGATCATATAAAACATTTCCTTGTCTTTACGTTCTTAACCTTGAAAAAAATCTATACAATGATCTGTCTTATAAAATGGCACTATTTTTGCTTTTCTTCCATCTTATCAAAATTTTAATTTAACTTCCTTTAGTGAAGTATCTGAAAATTTACTTCCACCGAAAAGGAAGTCAGAAATTCTATACTTGACAGAAAACGATAGTGAAGTGTCGATACTCGGAAATTTAAATATTTTATCGTATTTCAATTGAGAATTAAATTGCATAGAAAATATCTATTTTAAAATCTAGAATAAGAAATTTTTCCGGTTTAATGGGTCGAAATCATTTTCGAGATTGCTTTTGCACGCTTGCATTCTTTTACAATCTCCCCAAAAATTGCTTCAGGAAATGTATCCTAAAAGAAAAGTTTGAAAAATTATGAGAACAGTTTTCTCAATTTAAAAATATATATATTTTTTTTAGAATTTAAAAAATAAAGTAATATCCCTTTCAATTTTCCCAATATCCCTATCGCAAACAGCTGAAATTCGAATTACTTCCTTAAATTTAAAATATCAGATTATTTTTTTAAAATATTCTTATATCATGAGGGCAGTTTCAGGAAAATTTTTTATGAATTTAAAAATATTTTTGAGTTTAATATACTTTCGNTTTGATGATGGTTCCCCCATCGAGTTATCCCATTGTTTAATATACTTTCGATTTTCACAGTTGAAATTTAAAATAATTCGCTAAATTTTAAAATTATCCCCAACCACTTAAGATATTATCGGATTACTTTGAAAATATCCCTAATGGTTGGGAATTTTAAGGTAGTAGCTTTTAAAGCTGCTAGTAAATATTGCTCGAGGCCGTGAAGAACCTTTTTTTTATTATTTTTTTTCTTATTGAAGGGGCTCAAAATGGGTCATGGACCAGGTTAAATTCTTAAACTAAGCTTTTAAAATAAAAATTGCTTGTTTTTTCATCTCAAATGTAATTTATAGGTTTATTCTTTTAACCAAGACACTAAAAAGGTCTATTTTTTTATTTTATT